TTTATCCGGCTGGTTTTCAGCTCTTATTTGAATTGCACCTTGCAGTCCACATCCAATGGATCAGTGCAGTGACTATGTGCAGTATGTAGACGGCACAGGAAGTGAGTGGCTTTGAAGGTCAGAGCAGGATCAGTGCATTCCATGGATGGTTGAAAGAAAGCCAGTGAGTTGCTAAGGCTTTCGAACCAGGTTTCATGTTAAGGCCGTCTCTGTGTTCCTGCTACTGTTCTGGTTTCTTGTTCAATGACGATAGCAGCGGCAACTAGTATAGCTTAATTTCTCCATGCGTAGAGGTTTGCCATATAGTGTTCATAAAGACATCCATGTGACCATTAGGTTGTAATTCAGCAGTCTTACCTTTGTCGTCTTCTTCAGAACGAATCTGAATTTCAGGTACCTCTGTTGTCAATGGATCCGCACAGGCAGCAATTCTTACACTGTCATTGTGGAAAACCTGAATGGCTGTGTTGTATGTGTAGCTGTGAAACAATGAGATATAAAACAGGATTCAAAGGTATTTTTTCACCAGTTTTGTTTTGCTAAAAAGTAGGCTGTTTGTTGGCATTTACTGTCCCATGAAGAAGTGTGTCAGGCCGGTGAGAAAGGCCCCTACAGCCATGAGGAAACAGCCCACAGCGATTAGTCTGGGCCGATGTAGCTTGGCCCCAAAATAGCTGACCGCAGCGAGAAACAGCAAGTTGCCTACCTCCAAGAAACAGGAACCAAGAGCACATTTCGAGAATCATGAGCTAAAGTGTCAATCTGAAAGAAGAGTCAGGAATGTAAGAGATCAGATGCTCAAAACATGAAGGGTTAAATCAGAAGATAGACTGACCCATCTCAAAACTCCCATCTATGAGTCCAACGTGCGTGCTGGAGAGGTCGAAACGTCGCTCGATCTGAGTGATGGAGCTCTTCATGTATGTTCCTGTCAGAGCCTTGGAGAAGCAGGCGAAGGATAACGCCACAATAAACCACTGGAAAACACAAGTCATCAAAAAAGTCCATTATTACACATTTTGAATCAAGTTGTATAAAACGTTTTCTGTCAATATCAAATAAATATTAAACTTTCATGCTACTTTCATGTTCCTAATGTTAATGCTAGGCTACTCCAGGTACACAATCAACTAATGTGTTTAAACCTATATATATACACATAGTTATCATAAGTCTAATTATTATAGCCACTTTAACAAAAGTCAACAAACTAAAAAAGGTTATAGTTTCTTCCTTCTTCATAACAGCCTCCAGAGGCTTTACTCTCTGTGTGGGCACCCTGGAGTCGCTTTATTACTAAGTTAATTCCCATCTGGGATTACTGAAATTCTCCTGTATGTTTTGCTGAAATGTATTATGTTGTACAGAGGTTTTCACTTCCAGCGTAAGCCTGATGGGGCTTGGGCTTTGAATTATCTTAAAAACCTTGGGTAGATCTCATAAAACAGTGTGTATATTTCAATGTTTTTGGCTGTTAGAGTTTTGTTGATAGGGATTCTAAAAAGTTGCCTTTCAGCTTTACATCTACAGACTGAGCTAAGAAGAAGGAAAAAGTATGGAGTCAAATTATTGATGTGTTTTGGGAGAAATGCTTCATTCATGCTGATGTAGTGCTGCAATCAGGCAATGCTGATCTCAGGACTGAAGTGTTACGCTGCTCTAGAGAGACAAATGTGGCCTGGCAAGATTTTTGAAAACATCATCGAGATCATCTCTTGGCTTGATTTTAGGTACTTTTGGGGGAAGCTTATCCCTTAAAATGTGTCTCAGATTGTAAGCATTGATCCATCCATCTTTCCACTATTTATACAACTTTATTGGACATTAACTGAGGTTTGAATGCTCAAAATAACAACCATATGGTGTTTCGTTTTTCACTTGTGGTTTCCTGTTGATGTATTTATGTATTGTCTTGTGTTTTTTGTACCTGCATGTGCCTACATCTCTGTTTTCTATGTTTTACCTGGCTGCAGAACAAATATCCCTTTCTGCTTTTCTGCTTTTGATAGCTTCAGTACCTTGAGAGTGGAGATGCCAGGGCGTTTCCTGGTCTTCTGATCAGCGTCACACAGAGCCTGCTGGCTGGCCATCTGACCTAGGTCCTCTCCTGCTTCCTCCATCCTACGATCAATGCTTGGCAGACCTCTGCTGGCCACTGCAGGGCAAACAATAGATCGATCAAAGATAAGTAGGTCAAAAGTGTTTTCACTCATTCATTTACCCATTTTGTAACTGCTTATGCTACATCTAGTAGCAAAGTTGAAGGTAGAACTAAAAGAATAGTTTAACATTTTGGGGAAAAAAGCTAGTTTTCTTCTCTGACTGAGAGTTGCAGGTTAACATTATCAATAATCTCATTAGACTCTTAAACATTAGAACGAATATTTCCCAAAATGTCATACTTTTACACACTCATTACATACAACTCTTGTATAATTAGATGTATGTGTGGTTCACATCATAATAAATAGTATCAAATACTTTAACAATCTTTTTCTATCAGTAATCGATTGCATACTAATGTATCAAAGCTGGAAATATTCTGTCAAAGATTGTCAGAAGGGCGCCTTAAAATGACAATGTAATATTTAAAAAAGAAAGTTTAAAAATGACTTGTTTTATTTACTTCAATTAGGAGTGTATGATATTAAAATGTCTGAATTAGCAAAGTGAAAACAGAGCAGCTGTACCATACCTGAGTAAACCAAAGCGTCTTCTCTCAGCTCAGTAAACGTCAGGAGCTGCGGGTTGAATCCATGTCAGAGAGGGAAAATGGTGTCTAATGCTAACTGATTCCTCCTGTTGAACAAGTGAGAAGGCAGAAAAACCTGTAATGAAGTATCACAACTAACCAGGAGGGTTTTCACTTCACAACTCCAGTAATCCCCCTCAGGTTTAGCCTAGTTTCTAATGCTCCCACCTGATCTTAGACAGAGAGCCCTGGTCTTATCAGAAGAATTCAAATTTCAAAAGAAATAGATAACAAATCATTGCAAGGCAACTACTGAGGAAGTTTGATAAAATACCTAGTGCAAATCATACTGAAGTCTCCTCTTCTTCTTCTGCTCTTCCTCGTTAAGCAGCCATGTGTCTCCCCAAACTGCCCTATTCTCCTGTGTGAGGGCAGAGCAGCTTGTGGAACCAGCGGGACAAAAGGCCTCTCACATTTTTATTCCACACACATGCCAGCCAGTCCAGGAGGGGGACAGCAACAAGAGAACATGGGGGAGGTGAAGGGGAGACAGATTTGTAACTCCAAACCAGGATTATTTTTCTCACAAGATGTTTAATGGGAAAGAAGAAAAGTCCAAAAAACCTTCACAATAAAATCATCCTATCTGATTCTGTAGGATTGCTTTTTTAAGAGTGAGTCACTGAACGCTGTATTGACCCGCAGAGGCTTCTGGCAGCCAGACAGCAGGTCACTTAATAAACGTTGACCCCTTTATAAATTCCAAAGATTAAGATTAAGAGCCTTCACATTCCTGCACAGAAACAGTGAACAAAGTGTTTTCCAATTTTTCTTTCTGAAAAATCATAATAGGCCCCAGAATTTTGCATTGGTGAGAATGTTTTACATGTCTTTTGTCACTGTATCTAGTTTCAGGTGCATTTAGACAGGAATGCAGAGAGCCTCAGACATCGGCTACTGTAACTGCTGCAAATGAGTACTTGGAACTATGTTTTAACACGATTTTAACATAATCTTTCTATTTTTTGTAAACTTTACTTTCTGATGGGTTTTGGTTTGTTCTATGAGAAGCAGTGAGACACCTTCAGGGGCAATGCAGTACCTTACAGTGGATATTTTGTTGTATAGGGTGCCACCTGCTGGTAAAACCTCACACTGTACACAGTGCAACACATGTGTAACATTTGGGGTATATTGGTATACTAATAAAGGATCATAATAATAATAATAATAATAATAATAATAATAATAATAATAATAATAATAATAATAATAATAATGGGTTCCATTTATAAAGCACTTCATATTTGATTTCAAATCCCGAAGTGCTACAAGCAGTGAGCATGAACAGTATAAATAGACATTACACAACACGGTATAATTAATAAAAAGCAATAAAAAAATAAAAGGGTGGGAAAAAGGTCTAGGCAAAGACTCTTTTAATATATTCTAATCAATGGTCATGTTAGTTGCAATCTTTTATATTATATGGTTACAAATAACCAATAAAAGTAAGAGAACATACATCAGGTGAGTAAACACAGAGGAGTCCAAGTTTGATGGACCAGGTTGTGAAATAACAACCTTCAACTTTAAGCAGTCCAGAATGATATGTTGAGGCTCATGCTTTAAAATTAAATCTGTGATTGAAAAGGTTTAAAAGAAAGCAAGGTAAGGGTGTGAGGCAACATGGCAGCAAATGTCCTACTTTTTCCCTTTTGTAAAAGAGAAAAATATGGTTAAAAAGTTCAAAATATATATATATTTCTTCCAGATTAAATTGTAAAGGAATTCATCCAGTGTGTCTGCCTGCACTGCCATTATATAAAATGAATGACCCCTGTGTGACTGGTGCCATTGACCTTGCCTATTATCACGTGTTATCTATAGATTTTTGGACGTTGTCTTTTTTCTTAGAGGGTCCCTCTTTTCTTAGTTCCTCAGTGTTTAACCATGCTAGCAGTGTTTCTGGCAACCTGTTAAAGAAATGTCCAATCTTTCAGCTCTGGTTCACTATGTTGCTAAATGTTCCACTGTGTTCCTCAACAAGTCACTAACTTGCTCTAGGTAAGATTTACTGCTTGTTTTTGAGGCCTTTTCACCAAAAACAGGTGAGATTGAAGCAAAACGGTAAAGTGGCGTGCCAGAAAACGAAAAGTTATTTGCTGAAAGATGCTAAAAAGGGAAGTAGAACTTAATTAATTGAGGCACAACAAAGTGTAACAGGACATACCGTTAAATAAATGAAAAAGAAATTGAAAAATGTCAGCCTTAGCAGAGCATGTTACAATAAAAGAAAGACAGCAAATAAAACAAATAAACTATTGTCTTTAATGTTTAACGATATGCTAAGGACGATCGACAAAAGTGTAAAATAAAATAAGAAAAAAAGGCAGTAATGATTAAAAAACATTCTATAAAAACTATTTGATGATACATTTTCACTGACGACTAAAGTGCATAAGAACTAACAATCAAGTTACACTGCACTCACTCTTAGTCCACTGTCCAAGCTTCAGTGGACTTCAGATACTAGCTCAACAACACACTTTTTCTTTATGAACGACCATGACCTGTAATGTTATGTAAAATGATGATGTAACAAGAAGTGTGTGTAGAGTCAGACGGCTGAGATAAAGGTCGCTGGGGCAACAGTCAGTATAAAGGTTATCTGGCAAAGATATAGCCTGTAAATAAAACAAATATAAAAAGAAACTTCTTGTCATAAGCACATTTGCAAATAAGCCATGAGCTTTAAGGTTAGCTAAATAATGTGAAAAGAACTTGAAAACATGAAAGAACAAATTGTCGATCACTAACAAAACACGAATACTACAGTTCTGTCTTGTATTTAAAACTATACACTGTACATACTGTATAATGTAAATATACATAAATCCCTTTTGAATTTAAGGTTGTAGGATGAGACATTACTATCATAACCTGACTTTTTACTATTCAAGTATAAATGGACACAGCTCAAAAGCCAACTATTATAATGATTAAAATATGATTATAACAAGTGAACATTTTCTTTTCTTGGCTGATTTGAAGTTGAAAATGAACGCAATGTGTGCCGATTGCAGATCATTCCATGACTTTTGGTGTTTTTTTTCAATTCAAACTAAGCATTAGTGAGGAACTTTGACCTTTCTAAAGAACAAACAGCAGTGGATATTTCAAAACAATGTCTGTGTGTGCTGTTGAAGACCAAAGAGCGCTGGCACTGTACCAAGACCGCATTTGGTCCAGTATGGAGGCTTCACAGTGCTGTGTCGTTCACCTGCTTTATACAACGGTGTCGCCTTCCTCCGAAATCTTAAATAGTGCTCTCATTGTCCGCGTCCTCTTTGTTTTTAACAATGCTGATGTTGGCGTGTCCATTGCCCGACTTGTCACCATCCAGTCCGTTTTCCTTGGCCTGATTCCTTAGTGTTGACTTCTTGTGTGTCTTGACTATTGTACAATAAAGTCCTCCCCACAGGATGTTGGACAGGAAGTACAGTCCAGTAATCAAGCCCAAGAACGTAATTCTGAAATTAAAGCACATTGGAACACATTGTAATTATTATTTTATTTCATTAAATTGCTTTTCATTAGATTTTTGTGTATAAATGCAGTAAAAATAAATGGAAAAAAGATTATCTCTCTTTTTGTCCTGATCCATTTATATAAAAACCTGTCTGAAAATGAGCTGATCAGATTTTGGCCAATTTGTGATGTCACAATGTTTTTTTGGGTTGTGTAACCATTAGCCAACCAAGGTAACACCCGCCCACCTTATCACCTGAATCTCCTCCGAGAGCACCATTGTGTTCTTTTAAACCAATCATCTCTCAGAGGGGCGTGGCCAGCGAATGCTCATTAGCATTTAAAGCTACAGACACAGAATCAGCACTTTTGAAACAGGGCTGAAACAGAGGGGATTATGGGATGCTACAATGCATGATCTGTTTGGTATTTCAACCCAAATACTGAATACTGAATACAGAGACATGTTTTGTATATATCTGAGACCTATAATATATTGTTCAAAAATACTATAATATGGGACCTTTAAGTAACAACAGACTTTTTTTTAAATGATTAAAGGTGGGGTAGGTCATTTTGGAGAAACCAGCTCAAGTGCGGTAGAATTTGAAAATACACAGCCGGAAAAAATCTGCCACTTCCTTACAGAGCCCCTCCTCCAACACACACAAACGCGCACATGACCATTGAGGGCACGAGCCGGCACTTAAAAAGCACTTAAGATATTCATTGTTATCGGGATGTTAAGAGCATTCCATGGAATATAACAAAACGTGTATCTTGAGCCGGTTTCTCAAACTTACCTACCCCACCTTTAACCAACATCTTCCTCAAGGCAGAATATTCTAGCAATAAGAGTTTAGTTGCAGTGTACCTGAATGCATCAGCATCATAAATCCTACATGCTCCACGGCCTCCACATTGCTTGGACCCCCACTTCAAACATGTCTGGTCAATCAGTGCTCCGAAGTATATAGGAGGAGGAATCCCACCTGAAAACACACAAAAAGTCACATGCGCTTGTGAGTTGATTTCACTCATTATTGCTTTCAGTATAAGCCTAGCTAACACTTTTAACATGATTTTTTTATATTTATGTATTTTCAATACTCACCAAGAGTTCTTACTATCAGAATCTGCATACCCAAAGCCAGTGACTTCAGGTCTGGCTGTATCGACCTGGATGCCCAAACATAATCATATTAGATAGCAGCACTTTAGCTTCAAGAAAACACAAGAAGTAATATTTCCTACAATCGTTTTACAGAGGCAATTCACATAAAAACGTCACATAATCAGTACATATGCCACATATCACTGAAACACTGCAAGGCATAGTTAAACCCAGCCATAAAAGTGGTGAGTTCCTGTAGCTTTAGTCTCTGACCTGAGCAGTACGACGTATCCCGGCGTCCCTCCACAGGCGGAAATGAAAGACCCCAGGACGGACAAAGACATGTAGATTTTGAATATGTAATCACAGTTGCTTATCCTGGGGCACTGGCCCAGCACTGCGGACATGTTCATGCCAGGAGTCATCAACTCCCTGGTGCACGTGCAGTTATGAAACACCTAAAGAGCCAAAAAAACAGAGATGAGATGAATCACCTTTGACTGAGACTAAGAGAACTTGATGCAACCTTGTCAAATACATATGCAAGAAATAAATGGATAGTTTTTAGCTTCTTGTTTACCAGCTTTATCACTGTTTAAACCTACATTTTGCATGTCAATTGACATATTTCTATGTTAATATAAACCCTCTGTTCTTTAAAAAACTGTATTTGTATATTTCTGTAGTTTTTTTTTAAATGTATCTATATGTTTTTTCTATTTAGGGAGGGAATTACATTTGTCTTTTGCCCAAAAAATGTTGGTCATTACCAGAAAAAACGAAATAAACTAAGAATAACTTTTTTCAGATTTTCTGTTTTTTCTTTAACAAATGTCTGCAAGACGTTTAGGCCACTTACTAGTACAAAGATCTATTTTTCTTTGATTTGCAGTTTATGTGTGTGCCTTTAGTCTTAAATACAACGTGCTGTCTTACCCTCTCCTTGCCGGTGCCGCTGGAGGTTCGGCAGCCGGCCAGGCAGGGCGAGGCGTACGTCATCCCGTTGTAGGCGCACACCGGGTCCCATTGCTTCATGGAGCAGGAACAGCCCATGTTGCACTGGGACAGCAAGGTCTGTGGGTCATAGGACAGCTGAGGACCCCTGGAGCACACAGACATGAAAATATGCATGAGTAGGGGAAAAGGGTCATATCATCCCTAACTCTGGAAAACATTTCAGTTGCAAATTTGGCCCATTTCATGTGGGTTACAACGTCTTAAGGCCGGGATCCTTATCGTACCTAAGAGATTTTAAGAATGAATGCTTGAGTTAGAACAACTTCCTGTTTTCTGTCAAAGGCGTATATTCGCAAACCACCACATTGGTTCCATGGAGACTAAAAGTTTCATTAACTTTTAAAACCTCAAGGTCTTATTGTAGTACTGACAACATTTGAAGTTGGTCAATCTGTAGGAGGAGTTTGTTAAGGTACAGCACCCTCAAATGGTTAAAAAACAAGCAAAAATCAAAATGGCCGACTTAGGTTTAAGGTGTGCCTCAAATAGATTTTTTTTGTCGTCTCTACGTGCTTCTTCTTACAATCACGAAATGTCATATAGGTAGAACACTCGTACATACGGGGCTGTGTTCTGGGTGGCACTGTTCATTATGTACACACGGCCATACATTAACCTTATAATAAGTCAAATGTATTCCATGTTTTGCCAAAATAGATATCGTTTCAGAACATGTTTAGGCCCTCAACATCTTTATTCATTGAGTGAAAAATATTAAAAGTGCGCTTTCATACTTTTTTGGGCTTTTCCCTTTCCTGTAGTGTGTTATAGGTTTTGTTGCATGTAAATGGTCTTTAAAGGCTAAAATCCAAAAGTTCCTCTCCCACACACAAGATGGGCCACACCCTGACTAAAACGCCTCCATTAGACGTCGTCTACGTTTAAGCATGTAAACATGTCAAAGTAGAGGCACACAATACAAATAGGCACATGAAAATTATCATAATAGGGCCCCTTTAATAAGAAATCCTACAATTCCAACACTGTCGTTTGACCCTGATGTGTCGGTGCTACCTAAAAACTAAGACTGAGCGATAAGAAAATGTGTGCCCAACCTTCCAGTAAATCTACTTACTTTAACGTTTGGATAGTTTGCATGCTACTCACCCCTGATACAAGGCGGTTATACCTGCCACCTCTGCATTGTCACAGCGGAGGAAGCTCTGAACGGTCAGCAGACAAAGAGACCCGAGGGACGCCCCGAAGGCCAGCCGGGCCGCGCCGACCACACCCAGCTTGAAACGCTTCAGGACAAAACCTCCAGTGATGATCCCCAGAGCTACTGCTGGCAGGTTCATTGCACCTGGACGCAGAGAAAGATGTCTTATCAATACACTGGAAATACTATAAAATAAAAACGTTTAATATTTATCAAAAGGTCATGCCATAATGTGATAAAAACAGTCTAATGAATCACAAAGAAATGGCTCAAACCAAACAGCCCATCTATAGATGATTGGTACGATATCATTTATGAAATCTTTGTAATGGAAAGAATAACCTTCTCTATGAGGCTCCAGGAACTTACATTTGAGGAAATTTGGGAGAAATGGAAAGCGTATATTACCCCGATACGCCCTTCTTTAGTTTAAAGGAAACCTATCATGCTATATTTAAATGATATATTGTAGGGCCATACCTATATAAGGTATATTTATACGTTTCTGTTTTCGAAATACCAAACAGATCATGCATTTTAGCCATGCCTCATTTCGCTCTATGTGCTGTTTGCTGTCTACGGGTCTGATTCTGCTGACCACGCCCCTCTGCAGGAGAGGTGAGCCGTGCTCTGATCAGCTGCTGGGCTGTCAGAAGAGGGGGAGAAAAAGAGATCTCAGTCCTCCGTGTTTTATTATATAGAGTCGTTATTCATTTGTTTTAAAGCTCAATAAATAACAAAGAAGACCTTTGACCGGCACTTTTCTAATTTTGTCCGGAAGATTTAAACTTTAATGGACATCTTGATCGGCGAAAGTAACTGAAACTGAAACTCTGCCGCACGGTCCCCTCGTTCCTTGGAAGAGGCGGAGAGGTGGGTGTTTGTCATCTGCTGGTGGACTAACCGGAGAGAATTACAGTGCTTGCCTCGACGGGGAGGGATTGTATTGCAGCGGAAGCAAACGCTTGCCTCGGGGAGGGAAAAAGAAAGCCACAGCGGAGAATAAACAGAAGGGTAACCATGGTAACCAAGTCTTCTTCGCTGCTTTTGTGGCAGACTACAGCGCCACTTACAGGCCTGGCATATGTACTACAGCGTCTCCAGCGCTTTCGAACGGCAATGGCCGTGGCTGTCTCCTCCTGATTGGTGGAGTTGGCCCAATAGCCGTAGCGCCACCGTCCTGACGTCAGGACAGTGTTCAAATCTGGATCAGTTTTTATCAGATCCGTTGCAGCCCCTTTTTTAGAGATTTGGGTATGGAGGAAAATAGAGAGGGTTGTGTTTTCTGACACTTGGTGAGTTCCCTGGAACACCGGGGACACATATTCATGTAGAAAAGACGTACACAAGTGCATTTTGCATGATAGGTCCCCTTTAACTGTTTGAATCTTTTATTTAATGATCTATACTGTCAATGTTTTATATTGAAAAGAAAACACCCCATGTTCATGTGTGCTTATTGTTGTTGTTTTGTTAAGAAAAAGAAAAAAGACGGACCACTCTGTAAAACTATTTAACTACATATGTATATGTACACTGAAGTTGAAATGTGATCCAAAAAGGAAAAGAAAAGTCTAATGTTACCTTACATAATGATAGTTGCTTGTTTAACAATGACTTTTAACTATCAATATACAGATAATAACTCTTTCAGCTTGCCATGTAAGTAAACAGTCATAAAAAAGCTAATTATAGCTCAGAGTGCTTCTTTATAGACCCGCTCAAAGGGAAAGCACATAGCGTGCCACTTACAGTAGTGGATACATTTCAACTTTATCTATCACAATCACACTTCCCTTCAATAACATCATTGTTTCATTGCCCTTGGGCCAGCGAGTGCAAAGTGAATGGAGGTCAGATGTTGCCGTACCTATGAGGAAAATGGCTTTAGAGGCCGACTGGCCGTAGATCTGCTCCATGAACTTGGGCTTGAAGGTGATCATGCCGATGAAGCCGTTGACAGAAACCAGGTATGTGAGAATCATCAGCACGTAGATGGTGTTCCTGAAGAGCCTCCTCAGAGATGGAAGGAAATCTGGTGAAGAAAGCATAACAAAAGATTGTAGCATTAAATTAAAGTAGTTTTATTGACTCAATGATTGTTGCTGAAAGGAATGTAAAATGTGTCTTTCCTTGCAGCAGTTGTAAGAATGAAATATCTGTATATAGATAGGTGTTTTTAATTAGATTTATACCTATATATAAATCAATACTGTCTATTCACAGCACAAATGTTTATACAAATATATGAAGTAAGGCATGCTTATATATTTTCACGTTTACCTACATTACAAATTCCTCTTATAATTTGATTACATCACTAACTCTAAGTCTACTTGTCAAAACTCAGCAACAGAGATTTATTTTACACATATTTATCAGCAATGTAACATAACCTCAATATATCTTTAAAAAACGTATTTAGTTTGACTTTTTACAGTCTATTTTTCTTAACTTTTCTAGTAAATTGTCACACGTTTCCATTTTCTTTTGCTGCTTTTCAGAGGTCATATGACTTTTAAAAGCTGAATACTGTTAGGACATCATGTTGTGTACTTTATTATGGCATGACCGGCCTTTAGGTAACTGTTTCCACATGTTTCTCTGCCCTGAAGTGTCATTCAACTATTGCCCGGACTGCATGAAGGTAACAGGTCTGGGCTTTGGTTTGTCTAGTCTTATACCTGGTTAATGATTAATCACAAGCCCTAAAACACAAAATCTGCAAAGTGACACATTTGTTTCTGTTTGAAATCTTAGCGGTAGTTGAGTTGTTCTGCTAATCATAGATAGGTGATTACAAAAGCGTAAGAGAATCAAGAAATGTTTAAGATTTGGAATTTATGTTAAGTTATATGTGATGACCTGTCCTCAAATGCAGATGATAGTATGTGTGGGTGAAAAGTAAATCACCATAGTAACCTTTAAGAGAACAAAGTGCTGCAGAACAGGCAGTAGGATACAAATAAAGCACTTTAGGAACATGTTTAAACAGAGTTGAATCTGTCTAATGGATCTAACATCAACACTTGTGCTTTAAAGTGTTTTGTACTGATGGATGGTACCTTTAGCCAGCTCCTGAAACGTAACCGGCTTCTCCTTCTCTTCATCCTGGGTTTCGTCTGGCAGGAAGTTCTCCTGCTCGGTCACGGTGCTCAGCTCTGTGCCTTTACTCTCCTCCTGCCCCTCTTTGGGCAGAGACTTGGGCAGGAACCAGAAGGGTATGCTGGACAGCAGGATCACGGTGCCGGTCACTATGAAGCCCAGCCACCAAGCCCCCACCCAGCGGGAGTCCTTATAGTTGATGGTGACAGCGTCTGGGAGAGGAGGATGAGCAAAGATTATTAAGTGTGTGTATACAACTTTAATCTGTAACCCTGGACTGTTTCGGTCAGCTTAGACATTAGGGTCTGTCAACAGCTCTTATCAAAGCAGTACAAAGTGAACTACTATGTCAACACAATAAAAACTGAGTCTGATTTAGCCTCTTAGGTTCAAACAGAGTAAGGGGTTAGCTGTTTTGCTGCAGGTTTTGCCGGATTTGGACAGAGAGGTTATGTGTCATAGGTCTGAATATGTGTTTTATTAATCAAGGATAACCAGGACAGTATGGGTAAGAACAACCTAAGCCATATTCTGCATGTTCCCCTGATATTGCGGAGTCCAGTACCTAAATCCACAGATCCAATGTCCACGTAGATCTTGGAAAGGAATGACCCGAGCATGAACCCGAACATCGGTCCCAGGATTCCCACTGTGTGGATGCAGGCTGGGGAATGAGGAAAACAAAGGGATAAATAATACAGGATAGGAACACGCAAAAAGGAACAAACACCAACAACCGAGATTAATAGGATTTGTAGGAAGTAGGCTGGGCATTGCACTTTGTCACATTTAGATATTATTTATTTGTGTTATTTCTGAACTCCATTAGGCAGTTGACCATTTAGGTCATTTTAATGTGCAAATAAAAAATTGAAATAAATACAGGTGGAGGGAAAAGCGCCTATTTGCGTGAACAACATCATCAAAATGATCATAGACATTAGGAGGTCAAACGTAACTAACCCAAATAAAAAGGAGTGTTTTCTTCTCTGGAGAAGTCATCCAGGTAGGAAATACCCAGAGGCATGATGGGAGTTTCTCCGATTCCACGCAGCATGTTTCCGAAGAATATATAGATCCACATGGAGGAGCCGGCTGCCTTTTCACAAGCTGAGGGAGGGAAACTGGGGTCAGAATGTGAAATGAAACTGGATTTTTTTTATTAAGCTAACTAGCTTGTAATTATGAATGCATTTGGGTTCATATATGTTTTCTATTTACCTGTTCTGGTCTCTAAATCGGGCATTTTATCGGCTTCAGCCAGGGTGTGGTTGGACAGGCAGGGCAGGAAGCTCTCAGTGCTGTTGACATCACTATTGTGATACACACTGGTCTCATATTTATACCTGGAAATGATACAAAAAAGTGTTTAACGTTACACATCTACATTTTGAATGGATCCATATAAAAAAAAAATAACAGGAATATAAATATAATTCGAATTTCAGTAAAATCATGTAACGTGGTTAGTATACACAATTAGCTCATACACATGCAGACACATTATTATTATTTTAAAATGTATTTTAGGGCAGACTAGAATATTTCAGAAGTGTTTAGTGTTTTAATGTTTAGTTTACCATGCTGCAGCACTCTACTGGGGGAATATGGGATAGCAGCACCAACAACAACTTTTAAAATAGCCAGTGGGATGGTAACTAAGGATGGATTACCAAACGGCTAATCAAGAAAACTATCTAAGATTTTTGGGGGAAATTATTAACTGTTGGCGTCAAAAACACAACTAAGTATACATAATCATGTATTATTTCTTAACCCTTTCTTGTTTCATAACATTGTGTGAAAGTTTTTTTTTTTTTACTTTAAACTCATTTTCACAGGAATCAGGAAGAAAATAAAAAGGCTAATCCTAACACATTCACATTAGAAAAAGTTAAAATAGCTTGTTTTTTTATGACATTATACACCTCTTGGCTTCCATCTTGTTTTTTGCAAGGAGAGGTTTCAGTCCTTTATATAATACCCTGAATTATAGTAATTATTTGAGTCTTCCCATTCAAGTAAATGCTAAGTGTCTCTGCCTCAAAGACTCACATAATTTGATTTTTATTAACAATGTGTATCATCATGATGTTGAAAGAGAAGATACTAACATTCCCTGCAGGAAGTGAGGCAGGGCTGTGAGGAAACATCCTGCAGACATCATCACACAGCCAATAGCGATCAGTTTGGGGCGGTGCATCTTCGCACCGAAGTAGCTCACAAAGGCGACCACCAACAGGTTACCTGGGGGGAAGAAGAATTACAAAATCACTTGATAAATGACCGTTAAAGAAATAGTTTTACATTTAGGAAATCATGCCTATTTTTAAGATTAGATTGATACCATTTTAATGTATGTACGCTAACTGTGAAGCTACCATTGGTGGACAAATTAAACATATTTAATGAAGTAAAACAAAGGAAATACCAGTGTAGAACTATTTTGAGTTAAGTAAAACAACTAAAGTGTTTGTCTTAAAATGTATTTGTTTTTTATATGGATTATACAATTTTTTCTTTCAGGAAGGATTATTCTTGTATTACATAAATCCAAATTTCTACATTTTATTATTCAACGGTCATTATTTACCATGATGTAGCTAATCGTTTTTTTCTTTTTTTTTGAAACTTTGTCTTAAAAAATATATAGATTAAAAATGTTACCCACCCATTTCGAAGCTGCCATCTATAACCCCAATGAGGGAGCTGGGGACATCAAAGCGCCTCTCGATCTGGGTGATGGAGCTCTTCATATAGGCGCCAGCAAAGGCTTTGGAAAAGTATACAAATGCCATAGAGGCCAGGAAGAGCTGGAAACACAAACAGAAAACATGTTGAATATTCCTTTCTAGGAGTTTGACTTGACTAGGTTTGGAGAAAAGGGGTGAGAATATTTTTAATTAAATGATTAGTAATCCTCTCTCCTAAAAGACTTCCGTGTGAGAGGATTAAACACCTGTCGTTGCATAACAAACAATGCAATAAAAGGTTGTTGAATTGGGCTCATTCCAATAAAAGGATCAAATGATGCAAGTGTGCCTTACATAACTGGAAAGGGGAAGGGTGACCATTAACAGATTAACTCATTTCATGACCTTACACATTTGGAAGACCTGCAGTACTTCACACCTTCTTGCAACATAGATGATTGCATTTACTTTTACTCAGGTTAGATTGGTTGAAATGTAATCAACAGAACAATGCCGAAACCACATTGGGTCAAGTGAAATTAATACAGTACAGTTGGTTGAGGTTTTGAGACTTAACAGAAGCAAGTTTAGTCAAATGTTAAATTGACCCATTTTAAGAGCTTGTTAGCTTCACAAGTAAACCCTACTTGTATGTGGCCTTGATACAAAGATGGTTAAAGATTAAAAAAGGATTTGCACTGGTCTGTAGGTCATAGACAATGTTGTGATTAGGATAGGAGAACAGATAACGCTCCAAAGATAAAAGTTTACACACAAAAATGTATCAATCAATATTAATTGCAACTGATTTGACAGAGTGCTATTTTCTCATATCATCAGTTAAGCGTGAAACACTTTGTCAATATATTGCCAACAAATGGCAATCACAAGCCTTATCTACGCTTTTTTAAATCATTTACACGCAAAATCAGCTATAATCTGCTTCCCTTAACTATAGTACAAAACGTTTTAACTGGACTCAAACTCTGATTTAGTCTCAAAATGTAGCAGGTCAAGGGAAAAAGCATTTGTAGTAATGACACAGAAATGAAAAACCCAAGATAAATACAAAGAGATAGGGTTAGAGAAAAATATTTTACAATGACGTTTCACAACTTGGCCCTATCAGAGGTTGATTACAACCATCTATGGCTTCTGACACTTTGCAATACTGGGAAACACGGTTTAAGCGTTTTACTAACCTTGAGGTTGGCGCAACATGCTCTACGCGCTTTTTGGGAGTCCACACTCATGTTGCTGCTGCGTGGTCAACAGATAGAAGGAGAAACGCAAGGACCTGCAGGAGGACACCAAGATTATAAACACATACGGGTGTGGCAAAACATTTGCATTTCATCTGATTAGATCAAATTGATTCCTTTAAAATGTACTACTTTTTTCTTACAAATGTCTGCAGACAGAGAGTTCCCTATAAGTATTTGTAAAAGTGTAAATGTATAAAAATAAGTCACCAACATATCATATTTACTATTATAAATATATTTTAAAGAACTTTTGCCACTTTTACCACCAAATAAAAAAAATGTTTGCACTTTTCTGATTACAGTGCCAACAAAATACCAGTTATTCAGTTAAAAAAATGCAAAAGGTAAAGGTTTTCTCAGTTTATGTTAAAGAAAACCACAATTCAGAGTAATAAGAAGTGAAAAACCAGAAAAAGTGTTTACCTGAGAGCAGCAGCGGTCCTCTGAGAGATGGAAGGGATTCTGTGAAGTGGCTGAAGGCTCGATGTACCTGGCAGGACTTTGCGCTCGAAGCAAGAGTCTTATCAAAGCAACTAGTGAATCACCTGTAATCAGTAACCCACTCATGGGCACTTGTTGATCATGTCAATAAAAAGCCCCCCCCCCCCCCCCCCCCCCCCCCCCCCCCAGCTCCTCCAGCGCTCACACAGACACGCACGCGCAACAACCTAAAACTCCCTGCTCTGGTCAGGTAATGTCCACTGGGATGTATGAGTGAGCACAGGAAGGTTCAGAGGTTCACAGCGTGCAAACACACACTCACACATCCTCCTCTGTGAACATCACAAGCCGTCTAAATATCCATCCTTTTGTACGCACAACAAACAGCATCAGCGTGAAGCTGCTCAAAGCTTATTTTACAAGCCTGTTGGTGTGCAGTTTTTCAAAGACTGAAATGGCTTCCTCTCCTGGAGAAATCCAGCTTTTGTAGGGCTGGGTGTTTCCTAGGCCTGATGAAAGTCTTCCTGTCCTATTGATAGTCAGTAACAATGGCTTTCTCTCTGTGATAATGGCTGCAAGTGTGAGAGTATCCTGCTCACACTCAAAATTACAGGAGAGGAGTTTCTGTGGAGACAAATAGGTTTTTATTCAACGTCCTATCCTCTTGACAACATTGATTCTAGAAGATGTTGCTCAGGTCATATTTAAATATGTTTAATCAATACTATGTCATTTTATTTATCCTCTTTGAACAGTGGCAGATGCAGAAATGAAACTGATACAGTAACAAAAGTGGTAAAGAACTCTTAGATTTCTAGAGAATTTTGATAATGACATGGAAATGTGTCAGTGCCATATCTGTATGTGTTACGGTTTTGTATTTATGTTTTCATTTTCCACCTTTTGTTTTGAAATGTTTTCCTCCTTGTGTCTTCTCTGTTCCTTCTTCCTGTGTTTGCCTTCCTGTCGTTAGTTTCCCTGGTGTGTCTGATTGTCTGATTGTGTTCACCTGTTGCCCTTGTGTTTCTGCCTCCCTTACCCCAGCTGTGTCTTGTCTTGTGATTACCCCTCTCTGTATTTAGTCTTGTCTTCCCCCTGTGTGCCTTGTCGGTTCATTGTTGGTTTTTCCTCTCTTCCTCCATGTCAGTCACGGTTGTCTCTCCTGTCTCCCTCCATGTTGGTAACGGTCAGTTTTAGTACAACCTATTTGTTTCATGCCATGTTTTTGTTCAGCTTTTAAAATAAAGCTCGCTTTTTTGTTTCGAGACCGTTTACCTTTTTTGATAGTCTGCATTTGGGTCCTACCCTTCCACGCATCCTAACAGAATGAACCGACCAGCTTTGGACTCGGCAGACTCGGATCGTTTTGCTCTACAGGCAGAATGTCTTGGGTACTCTCTGGAGTACATTTTTTATACTTGGAATGGCGCCTCTTCTAGACGTGGTAGAGAGGCTGCGTTGAAGGAGGCACGTCAGGAGGTTGCTCGCCAGGCCTGGCTTAGGAGCATGTTGCCTGAGTGGCTACAACTTTTCACAAGTAGTCCGGAGGACTTGTCCGAAGCCTCTAACCCTTTCCTGGGGTATGACCAGGCCTTGGGAGGCCCACAGATCCTCCAAAGAATATCTAGGAGACGCAAGACCAAGATTCCAGCCCGTGCTCCAGTGGTTCCAGCTCCAGATCTGGCCCCAGCAGCCATTGTTCCAGCTCCAGATCTGGCCCCAGCAGCCATTGTTCCAGCCCCAGTTCTGGCCCCAGCAGCCATGGTTCCGGCCCCAGTTCCGGCCCCAGCAGCCATGGTTCCGGCTCCAGTTTCGGCCCCAGTACTGGCTCCCCGGCCGACGCCAGGCCTCCGTGTTTTGTCAGTGGTTCGGCCCACTCCAGCCCCTCGTGTCCTGTCGGTGGTCCGGCCGACTCCAGCACCTCGTCTCCTGTTGGCTCTCCGGCCGACGACAGCCCCCCGTGTCCTGTTGGCTCTACGGCCGACGCCTACCCCATGTCCTGTACCGTTGGAGGTCCCGCCGACTACTCTTCTGCCGGGGAGCCTGCCAACTCCATGTCCTGTCCCGTTGGGGGTCCCGCCGACTACTCTTCTGCCGGGGGTCCTGCCAACCCTATGTCCTGTGCTGTTGGAGGTCCCGCCGACTACTCTCCTGCCGGGGGTCTTGCCAACTCCATGTCCTGTCCCATTGGGGGTCCCGCCGACTACTCTTCTGCCGGGGGTCCTGCCAACCCTATGTCCTGTGCTGTTGGAGGTCCCGCCGACTACTCTCCTGCCGGGGGTCTTGCCAACTCCATGTCCTGTCCCGTCGACTACTCTTCTGCCGGGGGTCTTGCCAATCCTATGTCCTGTCCCGTTGGGGGTCCCGCCGACTACTCTCCTGCCGGGGGTCTTGCCAACTCCATGTCCTGTCCCGTTGGGGGTCCCGCCGACTACTCTTCTGCCGGGGGTCCTGCCAACCCTATGTCCTGTGCTGTTGGAGGTCCCGCCGACTACTCTCCTGCCGGGGGTCCTGCCAACCCTATGTCCTGTCCCATTGGGGGTCCCGCCGACTACTCTTCTGCCGGGGGTCCTGCCAACCCTATGTCCTGTGCTGTTGGAGGTCCCGCCGACTACTCTTCTGCCGGGGGTCCTGCCAACCCTATGTCCTGTGCCGTTGGAGGTCCCGCCGACTACTCTTCTGCCGGGGGTCCTGCCAACCCTATGTCCTGTGCTGTTGGAGGTCCCGCCGACTACTCTCCTGCCAGGGGTCTTGCCAACTCCATGTCCTGTCCCATTGGGGGTCCCGCCGACTACTCTTCTGCCGGGGGTCTTGCCAATCCTATGTCCTGTCCCGTTGGGGGTCCCGCCGACTACTCTTCTGCCGGGGGTCCTGCCAACCCTATGTCCTGTGCCGTTGGGGGTCCCGCCGACTACTGCTCCGCCGGGTTTCCTGCCAACACCATATCCTGTCCTGTTGGGGGTCCCGCCGACACCTGTCCCGCCGGGGGTCCTGCCAGCTCCATGTTCTGTCCTGTTGGAGGTCCAGTCGACACCAGCCCTTGCTCCATCCGGGGTCCCATTGACACCAGTCCATGTCATGTCCAGGATCCCGTCTATGCCTGTTCCGTCGGCTCCGGCCGACAACGGGTCCTGCCCGGCCTCCGGTGCTGTCCCGTCGGCGCCTTCCTGCCCGTCCTCCGGAGCTGTCCCGTCATGGCCTTCCTGCCCGTCCTCCGGAGTTGTCCCGTCAGCACCTTCCTGCCCCTCCTCCGGAGCTGTCCCGTCGACGCCTTCTTGTTCGCCCTCGAGCCCGGCCCCCTGAGCTCCGCGGTCTTCGCCCTCGGGCTCGGCCCCCTGACTCTTCCAGCCGCTGCCTTCGCCCTCGAGCCCGGCCCCCTGAGTGCCGGGGCCTTCGCCCTCGAGCTCGGCCCCCTGATTTCCCCAGCCGTGGCCTTCGCCCTCGAGGCCGGCCTCCTGACGCTTTCAGCCGCTGCCTTTGCTCTCATGCCCGGCCCCCTGGGTTCGCCCGCTGTGGTCTTCGCCCTTTTTTGAACTCTGCCTTGCCCCCGGGCCGTCCGCCCGGGACCCCCTCCTTGGTCTCTGCCTTGCCCCCGGGCCGTCCGCCCGAGACCCCTTCCGGGTCCTCCGCTGTTCCCCTGGGCTGTCAGCCCAAACCCGTCCTCCAGACCCCCTCCACCCACCCTGCTGGAATTTTTTGGACTTTTGGGGGTTTTCTTGGGACGTCTGGAATCCGTCCCTTGAGGGGGGGGTTCTGTTACGGTTTTGTATTTATGTTTTCATTTTCCACCTTTTTGTTTTGAAATGTTTTCCTCCTTGTGTCTTCTCTGTTCCTTCTTCCTGTGTTTGCCTTCCTGTCGTTGGTTTCCCTGGTGTGTCTGATTGTCTGATTGTGTTCACCTGTTGCCCTTGTGTTTCTGCCTCCCTTACCCCAGCTGTGTCTTGTCTTGTGATTACCCCTCTCTGTATTTAGTCTTGTCTTCCCCTGTGTGCCTTGTCGGTTCATTGTTGGTTTTTCCTGTCTTCCTCCATGTCAGTCACGGTTGTCTCTCCTGTCTCCCTCCATGTTGGTAACGGTCAGTTTTAGTACAACCTATTTGTTTCATGCCATGTTTTTGTTCAGCTTTTAAAATAAAGCTCGCTTTTTGTTTTGAGACAGTTTACCTTTTTTGATAGTCTGCATTTGGGTCCTACCCTTCCACGCATCCTAACAGTATGGCTGCCAATAGATGCTCATTGTGTGAAGCGTAAAAACAGGATGATGAAGAATTTACATCATTATTAAAAAGAAAAATGCGCACATGACTTACAGTAAAATCACGACTCTCTTAGGGAGTACTGGCTGTCATCCAAGAGGCAAAGAAGACATTACATGACTACCAATCTGAGACCAAACTGTGATTAAAGTATTAGAGAAAACGGATTGTTAATGCAAAATTAAAAGTACTTCATTTAATCTTCAACTGATATAACCCAGATACTCAGGTAAATAAACAATGGAATATGAATATTATTGTCTCAAATTCATGGGCACAGATTATCTTATGTTAACCTGTTAAGCCCTGAGCCTGTTTTTCAGCTTTCAGGCTCGAAAATGCCACTAACACAACAAAGACTATATCTTCACTTCTAAAAGGGGTAAATTAATCATCTTTTTTCTCAAAGCAAGGTCACATCTGTGAGTTGGATGTAGAAGTGTCAGAAATCAATATAGATGTTTTTATTTTTTAAATAAATTCATATGGAACATAGTAAAAACATGTAAATTCTATCTCCGCCTAAAAAAAAATTACAGATAGTGAAAACCACCCTTGGATAATGGGTTAGTAGACTAAAAGCTTTAGGAATCCAAAGTACAACATATAATAAGTACCCTGTATCAAGATTGATGCAAAACAAGAGAAATTTGACCTTTTTAGAGAGATTTAGAAAAATAAAGTCCAGGCGGACTCACCTCTGGGTAATTTGGGAACCATCAGTTCCATTTGACCTTTTTTACTATAAAAATCATTTTATTACTTTGAATTATCACTATAGGTATTCATTCCATCCAAATACAACTGTTGTAAAAAAAATAAAAAAATAAAAAATATATATATACAAAATGAAGTTTGACTCCAACTGGAGCAGATTTATTTAAAACTTTACAACTTAGCATGCCACTCCTCGTAACAATTTTGTGAAGCACAGAGGGACCTCACACTTCCTGCAGTACACAGCTGTCTTCACCTTCTTTTTGCCAGCATCATGGCAGTTCCTGCAGTTCTTCCTGATACGGACATCTTTCCCATAAAACTTGGGCCCGCATGTGAGTGGTGGTGGGGGTGGTGGGGGGGGAGGTGGAGGTGTTCCAAATTCCAACATTTCAGAGGCAAGCTGCTCCCTGAAAGTCTTCTGTGTGTGTGGCTTTGTCCTTGTGGAGAATGAAGCTGTTCACCACGGCAATGTCCACAAAATGGTAAAAAAAAGTCTTGTACCATTTCATAGTTTTGTGGAGAACGCTGTAGTACCCGATCAAAGCGTCAGACACATCCACGCCACCCATGTGGAAGTGAGTGCTTTTTGGATGCAGGCTGAGTGGCCAATACTGGTGCAGATCTCTTTCTAGAAGTTGAGGAATGTGAGGGTGAGGCAGGTGTGGCAGGTGTGGGCTGGGTGATCCTGTGGGCTGGGCATCCTCATCTCCATCACTATGAAAAGAAATGTGGAAAAACAAAGAGATTAGATTAATTCCTGTAATTCCTGTTTCCTTGGCAGTAAACATGCCATTTTGAGTGTGTGAATGCAATACATTTAGCGACTATAGATGAACACTGGCCAACCCTGTCTCCTAAAAATGATGTTCCCACAGAACTAAACTCCATTCTCAATTACGTTTAGCAAGAAACGTATTTTCTCCCACGTTACGTTTGTCATGAACATCTTAAATACGTTTATTTTCTACATATCTTTGCCATTTATTGTCTTGCTTATAATAATGATAATAGTCATTTATAAATACCATTTTAGAGCACACATTTGAAATCGACGATCGGGCTCGATATATGGTTAAATTAAAATCAGTAGGCGAGGCTGTAATTTCGCCAGCTGTTACTCTCATGAGCAAGGCAGAAAATAATAGTTTTATTATAGCCCTGTATTATTATTTATTATTTACTATATGAATAATCGTACACCAAATAAATAAGTAATAGATAAAAACAGAGAGATTACATACCTTTCCCGTGGTGGAATTTCATCATCAGAGTCACAACGCTCCGGGTTCCGTTCTGGCTGCAGGAGATCCTCGTCGTCTGACTCAGAATCAACAGGTAACATATCTGCATCGCTGTCAGCATTAGTCACCATTTCCATTGCCTGTAAAGTCGTAAGCATCTCTTTCCTGCAAGCCATTACTTGACAAAAGTCAAAGTATAGCAAAAGTCCTAAACGCCAATCTTGTAGTCTGCTCCGTTATCTGCTGTCCGCTCTGTGCGCTCTGGGTGCTGCTGCTGCAATTCCTGTTGTTTACGTACTAAACACGGCGTAGAGTCTGCTGCGTAATGGGTGTGCCGCTGGCATTCACAATTTATACTTTACGCAGGACCATATCTATGGAACCCATTGGTCGATTTGAGTGATTTACACCTTTTTCTTAACCATTAGATCCAATAGTTGGGCAGTTCCAAAATCCACGTAAACATTAACATTGCGGACGTAATAGAGAAGCAAACGAAGCACATCTGAAAGTACAAGCCTTGACTGCAAAACTTTATACCCAGTTTATTGCCATAAATATGATGATGGATTATCAGTAAAAAAATTCTACGTGACACAGACACATTGGATTAACCTTGAGCAGCGTTTTTATTCCGTTGAACACAACTTTTGATCACAAATCAAAAAAGGTAAGATGTAATTATTGTAATATTTTTGAAACCGGATGTTGTTTACTTTCTCTTTTCTGGCTGAAAGCTCCGCAAATTCTGGGTCGTACAGTGATGACACTACATGTATGGAATATGTGGAGTCTCAGCTTTAATCGGATATCTTGTTTGTGCAGTTACGATAAGTAATAAGGGCATTTTGAGAGTGAGTGCTGTGCAAAACTCCGTTAGCATTAGTTAGCATTTTTTCGCAAAATGCTAATTCAAAGGCTTGGTATTACTCTTGTGTTTCTTTTAGCTAAAAATGGTTCATATCTTCAGTTAGCTGAGATTCTTACCGTTAATCTGGTGCTACACATTAATAGTTTCATAAATTTAAGAAGCCCTGAGACATTGTCTAAAAAAAAAAAAGTGGGAGGGGTCCAATGGGGGGACCGCCGGGCTTAAGAGGTTAATGACTTGTGTGATGTCAGATTCAGACAAAAAGTGGGATCTAAACTGAATGTTGGCCCCCTCTTCTCTGTTGACCTAGAATGAACCGTGGAACAGTGCATTCATATGTTAAAGTTTAATTGAATTGGTAAAAATCAACAATGATATCAGTCACTGATTCCTATTTCTTTTTAGGAAGTGTTTGCTGTATCTGTGTTAATAATGTATTCATCACTCATGTGTTATTCATTTTTGTGTTCACTAGTTGTGTAAGTCCAATAAACACTTCATTTATAAAAAGCATATTTCTGTGATTTATGTGTTAAAGGGGGCCTATTGTAGTTTTTGAGGTTTTCCCTTCTCTGTAGTTATATAGGTTTGTGTGCATGTAAATGGTCTGCAAAGGCTAAAATCTCTAAAATGTCTTGAAGTTTTCCCTGTTTTTTTACCAATACTAGGCCGTGCCCAGACAAGTTGTTTAATATGTGAAATCCTGTTCTTTAAAAATTAAACTGATCATCTTGAAAGAGGAAGTGGGATGCAATGACCCTCATCCACCTTTTTATGGTAGCTCATGTGTTTATGATGCTTACTTATTAATTATTTAATCTGCTACAATCTCATGCTACAGGTGACAAAGTGTACATTGAAGTTTAGTTTAATGCTTTGATTTTGCCCAAAAGAAAAAACATACCACATACTTAGATGATTAGTCAAGGCGTTTATTTGATGGAAAACTGATTCAGTTATTGCTTTGAAAAAGAAAAAAACTAATAAGCCATTACATTTTATTTCATTATATGTTGACTTGGAGAATCTTAAGTATATAACAGAAATGCTGTCCAGTCTGTGCTGTCAGTCATTTTTGGTGCAGTATGTTCAGTGGTGGACAAAGTACTCTTTATCTGAGTTAGCAATACCACAGTGTAAAAATACTCTTACTATAAGTAAAAGTACTGCATTTAAATACAAAAGTATGAGCATCAATATGTACTTCAAGTAAAACAAATAAAATACCATATCATTGGATTACAAAGAATGATACATTGATGTGATCATCACTTTAATATTGCAAATGATAAAGGAGGACAGTATATCTACTGGCAGGTAGATTGTGAGTTTCATTAAGGGTTCAATAAAGTTTATCATAAAATAATAAAACATAAAACATTATTTGTTGATTATATTTCGTTTTATAAATCAGAATCTTCTAACTAAATTAAAGTTATCAAGTAAATGGATAGAGTGAATCATACAGAATTTGCCTCTGAATTCTAGTGGTATATGAAGTAGCAGGAATGAAGAGCCCCTCAAAAGTATGCTTTAGTACACTACCAGAGTACAGTACAGTATCTGCACTCACAGCTGGTGATGTGCGTGTAGTTGTAGCTCCTGGTCGTGAGGTCAGAGCACTGCAGGGTCACTAATCTCCTCTCAAAGAGTCTCTCCACACAGCAGGAGCTCTGCTGCTCCACCTGCAGGTCATTGTGTAACACCACCCTGTGTGTGGAGGAAGAAAAAGCAAAGGGGGGAGAGTGGGACAGGTGGAGGGAGTAAGAAAGACGGAGGGGAGAGAGAAAGAGTTGATTACACAGAGGACTGGAGGAAAAAATGAAGAAAAACCTAGGAATGTGTTGATTGGCTGTCATAAGTGTTTCTATTTGCATGCTTGGGGATTCATGGATTACATGTAACAGGATAATGAATGAGAATACTAAAAATGGTAACTGTATTTCCTTACATTTATATAAAAAAACATAATCTGATCACTGTTACCTTTTTCTTTTGAAATGGCGACTTACTAGCAGAATTACAATGTATGATATATTACAAAGCATATGGTTGGTGCTCTTAAACTATATACTTTAGTAAGAGCATATGTAAAAGAAGCAGATTTTATATCTGCTTTGTGAGCTAGAACAATGTACATTTATTAAATGGCCACTGCACTGGCTATTCATCAGAGACAAGTATATTAACTCTTACCTGGGCTCAGAATCACATTGGCCCTGACACACAGGCATCTGTATGACGGCAACACAGCTGTCTACTGTTAGGTTAAGACTGGTCATCTTCGGAGCACAGTTCTGGTTACCTGAAGGCAAAATAAGTTAACCAAAAGTTGAAGATACATCCTCTTTATCAAGTTTTTATTGCAGGAAAGTATCACATCACTTAACTTAAAAGTGATTACACACTGCAAGAGAGTTCAATTATAAATGACTTCCATATTTTTTTGAGTTTCACTGAACTTACATGAAAAGCAGCAGTGCTGGTCGTCCCAAATCCTGTCCTCCTGGTGAATAAATCACAACAGCTCAAGGTTAAATGGCGGTGGTTCTGCTTGTATTTAATCACTTAATGGCTTAAATCAGCTTCTTTATTCCAAATGTTTAATCTCTTTTCACTTGGTAAACCCATGGGCCACATTTGCAGGTGACAGAAGGCCAGGGGCCATTAAATAACAAATATTATTGTTTTTTTATCAAGTCAAACTCATAAACATTAAAAAGCAAATCATTAATTTATATGACACGGGGGTGATTCAAGGATTTAAGGACATTTGAGGCTTAGCCCAGACCTCTGCTGAGGTGTCTGTGGGATACTCCCCTCGCACTTTTTGGGTAAACAAGCTCTTTTAGTCCATTTAGATTTTGTATGCTTTTGTAAGCACTCTGGCATCTCATGTACTACTTAAAAGTAAGAAGAAAACCTTTTTTATTTATCTTTTGTGAGAAAACAATGCTTGCTTTCTACACTCAATAAAGGTTAATGAAAAACGTGTATTTTTGTTAATGTAAAATAATGGTTTAGCCTGTGGAAATTCCAGTAATACCTAAGTTGCTACTTGGAATAAGGCTTGTAAAATGACGAGTTCAAGGCACATTACAGGGTGTGTGTAGTACCTCCTGACACTCTTCTGTAGGACAGACTTTAATCACAGTCTGAATTCCATCTTTGCTGCAACTAAATGACGTGCAGGGATGGGCGGCATCCCTCCATCTGTCTCCCATCTACACACAAAGAGAGGAACCATGAGAAGACATCATTCATTTCAATCTAAAATACAGAATAAACACTTTTCTTTGTCATATAGAGCATGTTATAAGATAAGACGCAACAAACCTTGTATGTTTTTCCCTGATAACTGCATGTCTTCTCAACTGAAAAAATAAGTAAAAGTGTGTTATTTGTTTTTAACATAAGTAAAATCGAATCAATTCCGTGCCAGTGCTTACCGCAAATCTGATCACCGCAGCAAGATCTGTTCACCAGTACAGCAGTGCTGCTACAGAGGGGAGCTGAAACAGGAAGTTTGTGACACTCCTCCTTGACAGTCTGCTTGTTACATGTGCACCAGCTACAGCCGGACTGCCACACCTCACCAGGCTGCAAGACAGGTGGAAGAATACTTTTTGGATGTAGAATTCGATCTAAAGTCAGAGATACTACTTTTTACTCACTGTTGAGACAAAGAAACTCACCATTTTGGGCTCACCAAGTGGTCCTTTACAATCTGATGGAAGAGAAAATCTACATTATCAGTAGTTATGACAACAAAAACATCTAGGTGTGACGGTCAGCCTTATAGGTCAGTGTACTCACAGCGGCAGGTGTCCACACAGGTGGATGAATGATTTCCTGCTCTGACTTGGCCACTGGGACAAAAACAGCCTCCAATGTAGTTCTCAGTGGTGTCACCTTGATAATGTGCTCTGTAAAACCAGAAGAGAAATATAAATAGTGGAAATATCGGCAGGATTGAAAAAAATAGAAGAGATATAAAAGTCACCACAAGTGTAAGGATGTTATTTGGTGAAAGGGGCCCTATTAAAGGTGGGGTAGGTAAGAATGGAGAAACCAGCTTGAGTGCGCTAGAATTTGAAAGTACGCAGCCGAAAAAAACCTGCCCCTTACTTCAGACTCCCTTACAGAGCCCCTCCTCCAACACAGACAAACGTGCACATGACCAATGAGGGCACGAGATAAGTTTGTGCACAGATGGAAGGCTGACAGGCAGGTAGGCCATCCAGTTATTTTAGCCGGGCCGGTGAAAATAATTGGTCGTGCTTTTTACAGCGCCACGGCTTCCACAGATGACATTTCTGTATGTATTTATTGTCAAAGCATTGAATGTATTCATTGCTATCGGGATGTTAAGAGCATTCCATGGATTATAACAAAAAGTGTTTCTGAAGTGAATTACCTACCCTACCTTTAAATTCAATACAAGTTAACATTTGTATTTTGTGCCTCTACTGTGACATGTTTACTTTAATGTTTGAAAAAGTGCTTTATTTTTCTCATGCGTTTCAGGCAGGGTGTGTGGGAGAGAAACTCACTCTGGAGGGAACCTTTGCAGACCTTTAAATGCAAAAAACCTTTGTAACACACTACAGGAAAGGGAAACCCCAAAAAGCATAATAGGGCCCCTTTAGAGTAAACTAAACAAACCCTCCATGGCAGAATCCATCCGGCTTCTTTTGACATTCTCTGTAAACCAATCCCGCATCACAAGGCACATCTGAAACATGAACAAAAAAAGTGAAGTTATTAACGTTAGTGTCCCTTTAAAGAGGAATACATCATTGGCACTTTTAATCAAAACATCATTACAGTCAGGTCTACAAAACACATGTTCATGTTTGCAAATATATAAGGTCTCTAGACTGACTGGTATTGCTTTACAGTATAAGAAAAAGGATAAAAGATACATACCACAGGTCCCATTGGTCAGGCTTCTCCAGTCAATACACCATTCCACCTTGCATTCCTTAGCAGCTTGCTCTAGTGAAGCGCACGGACCACTCGTGCATGAATCAAACTTGCAGTTCTTCATTTTAAGGTCCAGATCCACATACGGTGTGCAATTTGAAAAGACTCTGGGGAAACAGAACAGATTCGATTTTTAATATGTAATATACAACATGTCACGACATACACAGAAAGACAGTCAGCCCAGGATGGTATAGAATATATACAACACTGGTACAAGTGGCAATAGGTGTTTAGTAGATCACACTAAATCCCAATTCTACCACTAATTCTGACACACAAGAAACGTGCTGATGAGTGTATACGACTGTGTGTGTTAGTGTGTTGAGCTTACGGGTGTTGTAGCAGCTCACATAGTGGGCTAGCAGGGCAGGGGGTAGGGGGTGGGCTTGTGGGTACTGTAGTGGGTGAGATACAAGGTATGTCTCTGGGGGCAGAAGCACAGGCGGGCTTGAGGGGGTCGTGGTACACCCAGTCATTGGCCGTCTTACTACAGCAGCTGTCATCCTCGATCTGCCCTCCTTTACGGACACATGATCCAACACCACACACTCCTGGGGAAGATGAAGAGGTGGGAATTAACATAAACACACTGTGTATAGCTTTTAGCCACGTTAGCACATATATATGGTTCTCATATGCACTTAACCACTCCCTTTCAATCCATTACTCACCACATTGTCCCTGGGTATTGTTGAGGAAATGCTCCATGGCCAGACTGACCACCAGGCTGTAAGACGGAGTGAGGGAGACATAAGAGCGCAGGTCTGGGAGGTAGATTGACACTACATATCCGGTGGTCTCAAACCTCCACCCAGGCTCCTCATATGGTGGCTGTATGGTCACGTTGTTCAGAGTGGCCTAGTGCACATAAGATCAAAATCAAACAACCTCTCTTATTCAAAAGGGAACGGCAGATTATCAGCATCCTTGTAGCTTTATCGTCAATATATTTTATAAGGGTCCATGGTGAAATGTCGTACTATAAATAAATACAAATATATCCTACCTGTACTATCTTATCTTGAAGGATACTGAGTGTAGCTGTACTGTTCTGATATTTCAGGATGATGCCTCTAGCACACGAGCCTAGGAGGCCTTCCACACAGGCAAAGTTGTCCACAGCAATGGTCAGATTATAATGTATTGACTGCTCCTCAACAAGAAGGTAGGTGCATTCGTCCAGGAAATCAAAGGTTACTCCTTGGAAAGAGATGTAGTGGGGATCCCCATACAGCTCACAGCGACCTAGGGAACATAATATGAGATTTTAATATTTTTCTCTCAAAATTAGCCCCATATGGCTCTAGGGATGGCATTTTTGGCACATCAATTCACCGCTTTGGTCCAGACTAAAACATTTCAACAACTATTAAATGGACTGCAATTTTATTGTAATAATCTTGGGGATATAATAACCAAAAACCTGGGAAAAATGTCCAGTCTTACGTGTACTCTGGTTCAGTACTAGTAAGTAAAAGTTAGCATTTTAAAGAAAGATGGTAACCATAGGAAACAGAAATTGCAAAATGTTAGTATGTTAAGCTTGAAGGAGTATGATAGCATCCTGACTTAAAGGTAGGGTAGGTAAGTTTGAGAAACCGGCTCGAGATACACTTTTTGTTATATTCCATGGAATACTCTTAACATCCCGATAGCAACGAATATCTTAAGACTTAAGATATTCATTGCTATCGGGATGTTAAGAGCATTCCATGGAATGACATTTTTTTATGGATTTTTTGTCAAAGCACTTAAAGGAGAGGTGTCATGCTTTTCCGGTTATTACCCGTCCCCTTGTGTGTTATGAAGGTTTTTATGCATGTAAACGGTGTGCAGAGTCAAAACCCTCAAAGTACACCCTATAGCGAGTAAAACTCTAACACACCTCCCCAAAACGCCTCGTTGGAGATACGTCATTATCCATTTGATTCTTCCGGGTACGGCATGATGTCATACCGTACCCGGAACGAAATGGACCAATCTGTGGAGCCGTTACGTTACGTTAAGCCCCCGCTGATTGGTCCAAATTGACCAATCCACGGACTTCCTCACACACACATCTGTGTGCAGGGAGCAGGCAGCTCAGCTGATTTCTCCTCCCTGGCTGCAGGCTGATAACAGACAGTTGGGATCGCGGCGAAATTCTCTCTGCAGACCCATTCTCACAGCGTTTATCAACCTTTTTCTTACTCAATATCAAGCCACACTTATTGTTTTTACTTCGGATGTGAGTTTGTGTGTGCTCAGGATGAGTTTGGCTGTGTTTCGCTATGTATCCTAAACAAGGAAACAACACCTCCACGGAGCTCAGCGCGATTCACAACGTCCCGACCAATCAGAGAGGGTGGGGGCTGGAGCTTTTGGAGCTACAACGAGCCGTTAAAGGCAGAGAGTGAAATTCAGTGAATACACGTAGTTTATAGAGATGCTGTATGAGAAACCAATGTGAGTTTGGAAAAATGCACAGTATAAATCTATTTTAGTAGACCTCAACAATGGAATTATGATCAGTGGAAATGGCCATCACACCTCTCCTTTAAGACTTAAGTGCTTTGACAAAAAATCCATAAAAAAATGTAATCTGTGGAAGCCGTAATACTGTAAAAAGCACGACCAATCATTTTAGCCGGCCCGGCTAAAATAACTGGATGGCCTACCTGCCTGTCAGCCTTCCATCTGTGCACAAACTTATCTCGTGCCCTCATTGGTCATGTGCGCGTTCGTGTGTGTTGGAGGAGGGGCTCTATAAGGAAGTGGCAGATTTTCTCCGGTTGTGTATTTTCAAATTCTAGCGATCTCGAGCCGGTTTCTCAAACTTACCTACCCTACTTTTAAGTATTTATAATTCCTTGAATACAGCCTCACTAGGCATTTTGTTATAAAGACAGATGGACATCAGTGTGGATGAACCAAAGGAATTGGGAGCTAAATGTCTTGATGCTGATTTAGAGAAAAGAACAGTGGCAGAGACAGACAACTTACAGTCACACTTCCATGTTTCACAGCATCCATCCCAGACTTGTGTGGCCTGGTCTCTGGGGCATTTAGGCCTTGAAGACTCTGGACAAACCACTGGAGTCAACTCTATCTTCCCCTCCCTACAGCTCTTATCGAAGCAGTCCTCTGTCCACATCTCGCCGCAACCCCAGCTTAGTTTCCTCTTCAGGTCTTTACACTCACACCCTGGTGGTTTGATAAACACAAAACATTAAAAGACAGTGAATTTAGAAATTGATAAAACACAGTTGGGGTAATTTAAGGATCTGACTGCTTAGTTAACTGATAAAAAGAGAGAAATATGCAACAAATACTTGACATATACCTGGAGTTGACCAAGCTCCAGGAGTAGTTGTGACATTGGTAATGTCCGTCATTGGTGTAGAAGAAATCGTTGGCATTGTTGATGATGTTTCAGCAGTTGTTAGGGCAGTTGTGGGTGTTGGCTTAATCGTGGTAGGATATACAGTTGTTTCATCGGTAGCATAGGCAGTTGTGGTTATTGGTGTAGAGGTGTCGGAAAACATGGTGGACATGGGGGGCGTTGTTGATGTTTCAGCTGTAGTTGAGGCAGTTGTGGTTGTATTAATGGTGGAATGATTCATAGTTGACCAATTTCCAGGAGTAGTTGAGACATTGGTAGTGGTCATAATTGGTGTAGAGGTGGTGGGGGGCACTGTTGATGAATTTTCAGCAGTTGTTAAGTCAGTTGTAGTTTTTGGTGTAGTAATTGTTGAAGGATTCATAGTTGACCAATTTCCAGGAGTAGTTGAGACATTAGCAGTAGCTGTCATTGGTGTAGAGGTGGTGGAGGGTGTTGTTGAGGATGTGACAGCTGTAGTTAAGTCAGTTGTAGTAGTTAGTGTAGTGGTACTATGAGATAGATTTGTGTCATTGGTAGTATAGTCAGTTGCGGTTATTGGTGTAGAAGTGGTGGAAAGCACAGTTGTTGATGATGTTTCAGCAGTAGTTAGGGCAGTTGTTATTGTTGTTGTTATTGGTAGAGTAGTTTCAGGATACACAGTTGTTTCATTGGTAGTATAGGCAGTTGTAGATGTTGGGGTAGAGGTGGAAGGCACAGTTGACCAATTTCCAACAGTTGTTGAAACGTTCGTAATGGTTGGGATTTGTGTAGAGGTGGTGGGGGGCATTGTTGAAGATGTTACAGCTGTTGTAGTCATCGGTGTAGTAGTCGCAGGATACACAGTTGTTTCATTGTTAGTAACTGCAGTTGTGGTTATTGGTGTCGAGGTGGTTGACCAATCTCCAGTAGTAGTTGAGACATTGGTAGTGGTTGTCGTTAGTGAAGAGGTGGTAGGGGGAGTTGTTGATGATGTTCCAGCTGTAGTTAAAGTGGTTGTAGTTGTTGGGGTAGAGGTGGAAGGCACAGTTGACCAATCTCCAGTAGTAGTTGAGACATTGGTAGTGGTTGTCGTTGGTGAAGAGGTGGTGGGGGGCATTGCTGATGATGTTTCAGTTGTTTGTGTAGTGGTAGTAGGATATACAGTTGTGTCATTGGTAGTATGTGCCGTTGTGGTTAATGATGTAGCGGTGGTGGGGAGCGTTGTTGATGATGTTTCATCTGTAGTTAAGACAGTTGTAGTTGTTGGTGTAGCAGTGGTGGAAAGCAAGGTTGACCAATCTCCAGTGGTAGTTGAGACATTGGTAGTGGTTGTCATTGGTGAGGAGGTGCTGCGGGGTGTTGTTGATGATGATTCAGTCGTAGTTAAGACTGCTGTAGTTGGTGGTGTAGTAATGGTGGTGGAAAACACAGTTGTTTCAGTTGTAGTTGAAGCGGTGGTGGTGGCAGGTGTGGTGGGTGGAGGTGCTGTTGGTAAAAGAGGTGGAATTGTGGTCTGGTGTTTTGTTTCTGTAAAGTTGAATTTTGTGTAATTTAAATCTTCGAGAAAACTGTTTGCTACAAATGTTTTTTTTCCTTTTATAACAGTTCATTGACAAATTAAATAATACATTTAATGGTGAATTACTTTAATTGATACTTACGGCAATTCATTTTCCCATTTTCACAGCGGCTGACAAACACAATGTTAAAGAGTTAGAAAAATCCAGTTATCAATGCAATGAGTTATGAAAAGTGCAACATTTTTCATATTATGTTTATCTTGAACATTTACATATTTGAACATACTATATTTATATTAAGAATGTTCCAACTTACCACTCAACAGACCTCATCATCACCACTGCCCTGGGCTGAAGGATGGCGTCATTAAAGTCACAAGTGCAATTTCTCAATTTAGTGCATTCACCAGTATTTTCATCAAAGTATGGCTCCTCCTTTGAACATCTGGGGTAGCAGCCTTTTTTTGGAAAATACACATCATTTTTATTTTATAGGCACAAAAAAACATTCAATAGATATATTAATTGTGAGGCGGGGTTTGTTTGCACTAATGCCTGAATAAGAACAAATATGTAAGATTTAGACATCACATGATTAAGAATTGTGTTAAGCTGTTTTATTTGAATACTATTATGAGAGTCCTGTTACCTTCCAGCTTGTGAGTGATGTAGTTGTCTTTGCCGCAGGTTAGCATCTTTCCACAGGCTTCATAGTGCCAGCTACACTGGCCCTGCTCGTTGTAGTAGTCACAGTAGACCGCTAATGTTTAAATGATCACAGGTTAAAGTTTTACACATTTCTAATATTATCTAACAAACCTTTCATCATATGGATTGTTAGATATAACGATTGATTACTTTATGTATGTGTCAGTTCTATTGCACACAAAATTCAAATTTCTGTAGAAGAAAAATGATTGTCACTTACGACACAAATCCGGAGTTCTCCAATTTATACAAACATCGTGGTCGCTGCAGGCCTCTGCGTACGCTGCCACGGCCGTGCAGAAGCCCAGGAACTTGCCTTCAAACTCACAGGAGCAAGACTCTTGCACACACGCATGGTAGAAGGAAGTTGGATCCACCTGTTGAGTTTTTAATAAAAGGGCGCCCCCTATTACTTTAAATAGTAATATATTTTTTATCTTGCAAAACATTTGAATCTATAGCAATTAAAGACATGAACAGGTATCCAGCTATTGATCCTGGTGTCATGCTAAATATGTGAAATGCGTACTTTGAGGTGGCATTCACTGAAGGTGTCTCCTGTCAGAATCATACAGCGCCGCTGGGCCCAGGCTGCGCAGTAGGAGTTGCGTTCACACGGAAATATCTCTGTTGTCACATCCGAGCAGGGAGGGGTGGCCACTTTCCAGCTGTTGCCAAATGCCAAGGGGCTGGACACCACTAAAAAAATAGATTTGTTCTAATGTTAGTCAGACAAACATCAAAAGTAAAAGTGCTTTACAAAAAAGAGAAACCAGTCTACCTGCTGAGCCACTTATCTGTAGGTCATTCATCTCATTGAAGTCAAAATTTCCACAGAGGCCACAGACTCGGTTCTGCAAATAAAATGGTTACAAATTCAAGTACACTTAAGTTTTACAGTTCACTTGAGCTAATTATATATGAATCAGTAAACATTCGATGTTAACCTTATGTTTAGCAGTGCATAATATACTTTTTTTTAGGATAATGTGACAATCACTCACCCTCCAGTGTGATTGCAGCTCTATAGTGATGCGGGTGTGTTTGTCCCAGATGAGAGTTATCCCTCTGCTCGGCACAGAGATTATGATGTAAAGTCCGACAGTGTGTGTGGAGTAAAGTGAGTCTCCCTGCAGAGTCCAGCCTTCATGGTAGCGTCTGGTTACCTTCATGTCGCTCAGTGTCAGGGTGACTTTGTCCTTTAATGAAAACACAGGTACAATTCATGGTATTGGAAAATTCAGACTGCTGTTTCACGACCATTTATTGCCTTAAATAACATATTATTCATATTTATGTTAACTGAATTATATAAGGTTGTAATAATCTGTTGTTTAAAGGGCCCATGTCATGCTTTTCCGGTTATTACCCGTCCCCTTGTGTGTAATGAAGGTTTTTATGCATGTAAACGGTGTGCAGAGTCACAAACCCTCAAAGTACACCCTGTAGCGAGTAAAACTCTAACACAGAAAATACCTCCCCAAAACGCCTCGTTGGAGATACGTCATTGTCCATTTGATTCTTCCATTTCGTTCCGGGTACGGCATGATGTCAAGCCGTACCCGGAACGAAATGGACCAATCCGTGGAGCCGTTACGTTACGTCCGCGGAGCTGTTACGTTAAGCCCAAATTGACCAATCCACGGACTTCCTCACACACACATCTGTGTGCAGGGCAGCTCAGCTGATTTTCCTACCTGGCTGCAGGCTGATAACAGACAGTTGCGATCGCGGCGAAATTCTCTCTGCAGACCCATTCTCACAGCGTTTATCAACCTTTTTCTTACTCAATATCAAGCCACACTTATTGTTTTTACTTCGGCTGTGACTTTGTGTGTGCTCAGGATGAGTTTGGCTGTGTTTGGCTGTGTATCGCTAACAAGGAAACAACACCTCCACGGAGCTCAGCGCGATTCACAACGTCCCGACCAATCAGAGCACACTGTGCTCACAGGGAGGGTGGGGGCTGGAGCTATTGGAGCTACAACGAGCCGTTAAAGGCAGAGAGTGAAATTCAGTGAATACACGTACTAGTTTACAGAGATGCTGTATGAGAAACCAATGTGAGTTTGGAAAATTGCACAATATAAATCTATTCTAGTAGACCTCAACAATGGAATTATGATCAGTGGAAATGGCCATGACATGGGCCCTTTAATTGATTCTTGTTGTATTTGACATTTGAAATGATCACATTTAGTTTCAGCTCAGATATTTCATTTCCTGTCTGCGCTTAATTTATTTCAACTATCGCTGAATATCATTCCTTCTGTATTATATTAGGTCTGTAGTTCCCCTTCTTTAGTGCCAGTTCTTAGTGTTTAGTTTTTGTTTAGTTCTTTATAAAGATGGATAATAAAGAGGTGAACAATAACTTAAAGTCTTAGTAAAGAAAAATGACGGAAAAAGCCATCCACCTGCAGGTCGAGGACGATGGAGCGAGAGCAGGTGAGCGCCTCATCACAGCAGGGGACGCTCTCCACTCTGACAGAGAAGGTGCTGTTTCCATCTCCACAGCCATCCTGAATAAAATGCAGAAGAAAAATATATTGTTATTGAAGAATAAGGCAAACTGTGTTCTACATATTGTTTAAATGTCTTATAGTATTTGGATGATGGACAGATGATGCATTAGAGGCCGACAAAGCTAAGACACATGAAAATACTATTCCATCTTCAGTGTTTGTTCTCACCTCTACTAGTGTGTACTGACATTGTCCGTCAAAGCGGTACCAGTTGGAGTCAAATGTCTGGTAGTGTCCGTTGCCGTAAACCTGACATTTCCCAGAGCAAGGCTCGTCTCTGCAGAGCCACTGACCCTGACCACAGACACTGAAACACAGAGTGATGACAACCTTTTATTCACCCTCTGCATCATGGCTCGATTAGCTTTTGAAGGAACAACAATTTTTTTTAACGAACAAGTAGAAAAGCAGCAAGTGTTACCATGTTTTACAGTTGGTGCTGACGAGCTGTCCTGCACTGAACACTTTGCCGCTGTACACACAGGTGCAGTTATCAAGAGAAACACAGTGTCCACGGTGATCCTCATACTGGTCATGTGGGCAGTAACAGCCACTCTCACAGGTCATATTGGTACCCTAGTCATCACATACAAAATATTTTGGCTCAAAGTTTGTCCCATCAAAAGAAAAGAAGTGTAAATGTATGGGATGCAAGTCACTGACATTGATTTTTGTAAATGCTCATCACAAAACAATACGTCCACCCGTTTTTACAGGTTATCAGTCAGAAAAAATGTAGAATAAATGATAAGACACAAATAAGCAAGCCTTGTACATAAAGATATAATCTGTTGTCCTACCATTGGTTTGCTGAGACTCTCACAGGTTTTCTGAGCCGTGTTGACAGGGTACTCGCTGCAATGCACACAAACCTTTCCATTTCTGCACCCTGTGTTTCAAGCAGATTCACACACTGTCAAGTTACACTTTTTACTAATGAATGAAAATGAAAGGCGCACATATAACAAAGGTAGGATTTCAATATGATTATATAAAAAAATTAGATATATATTTACCACAATCCTGGGAACAGTTCAGCTCTCCATTTACACAGAGGCTGGAATAAACACATGATAATAACTTTGATTAAGCATGTTTACACCATAGATGTAGACTACTGAGCACACTATAACAGCTCTGATAAAGCCTCAACCAATTGTGAAAATGTTATGATTAATGTTATTTATGTTTTAAATGCCCACCAATTTCGTCCGTCGATAATAGCAGCCCCTGGTGGGGTCGTCCCGCCGTTGTAGTGACAGTCGCACTCTGCCTTTCGGGTGCAGACGTCTCCTTGGTTCAGGTGAGTTCCCTCCGGACAGCCGCAGCCCTCCACCGGAGCGTCGTCCAGTCCGCAGCGGGGGTCCGGGCCCGACAGGGAGCGGCATGTGTGTTTGCAGGCTTGCGTGTCGTATGAGAATTCCTGGTTCTTTAGACAGTTCAAAGCTGCGACACAACAGTGAGATTAACGTTACATACACCACTGATTTAATACTATTAATATGAATATGTGACATTTTCCTTTACATAGTAAAGTCTTTACATTCACAGTTAGATTAAATTAGATAAAATATACTTTTTTGATCCCAAATTAGGAATGGGTTTTGTCACAGCAGCATGTAAACAAAGGATTGCAAAAAATATTAAAATAAATGAAAAATTAACAGTAAATATATAAATATCAACAGTAGAAAAATATGTATCTTTGGAGTAAGTAAAGAATGCACAATTTGAAACATCCAGATTAAGTTAGAGTAATCTAAAATATAAACATAGTGTGAAAAGTTGTTGCAAATGTATTTACATTTATTTTATTAACATCTGTTGTGTAGACGATGTTGAAATCATACTTAAATTGTCATCAGTAATTTGAAATTTAAAAAATGTGAACATACTACATTGGCTCTTCTCAGTGGACTGTGTAAAATAAAGTGTGAGAATGCAGATGGAATAAATGGTATTTTTATCAAAGCTGAACTCACTGCAGTTGGTAGCTTTCCTCCAGTCACCAATCACAACACCCAGACTGGCACAGGCTTCGGCATAACTACCCAGAGAGACACACAGGCACTGAGACAAGCTGCTGCCACAGTTACATGTTCGTTTGATGCAAGCCTGGACATAAGAATCAGTGTAAGAACAACAGGCGACAACCATTAAATGTTGATAATAAGGATTTAATTTGTGCACAAGGCCCTTTACCGTGTGGTAGTGATTAGTAGGGATATGACCATGGCACTTAGCAAATATCCCAGTGGGGATGTTCAACACTGAGCACTTCTCATCAGCGAAAATCTCTGTAAAAATATAAAAAAAGCACATTTGATTCTTCTACTATCAAAATGTAACAACTTGATGTCTATTTTCTTTTGAAAATAGCTTATAATCTCAAAAATGCAGAATTTAGGTAAACAAATAAACCATGTGTTTGGATTTCTACACGTTTCCGACATTTTAAAAGCACAAGTATCTCATTTGTAATTGGTACCTTTGTCAGTGTTGATGCAGGGGTCCGGTATGTTCACTGCACAAACCCCCACGCTCCAGGACTGAGCGAACGGCTGAGCAGAGTTCTCGATGATCCCGCTGCTGGTGGTGAAGTCATCTGTGGTGTCGTTGTTGTTGTTGCCACAGAGACCTGGAAGACATGCGGTATGTGATAACAAAACAGAGGATAAAGGATGTATTTTTTGTATTTGGTTTTGGGAGATTGTGATATATTTTGGCTTGTTTTTAGACTGAGATCCTAACCTGAGATTACGCCAGTGTGGTCTTTGGGCGGGGTGATGTACAGCTGGATTTCAGGAGACATCTGGACTTGGATCTTCATACCAAAGGATGTGTCGACCTGGACGTACATGGAGGACTGCCAGAAAACCAGAGCATGATCTGACAGGTGACAGAGGGGGGTAAGTTATCAGTGGTTTGGTAACAAGGCCATTATGGATTAATAACAAGGTTACCAGGCATATTACGGGAACCCTAAATAGATCAAATGGACAACTGTTCTTCCAATTTATTTTACCAGATTGATGAAGTTCAGTGATCGTCTCCCCTCCAATTTGAACCCTGTCTTGAGAGAATGTATAAGTTTCCTGCAAATCCAAGAAAGAGTGTTTATATTTAATGACTGTTCATCAGTGTTCTTTGATTGTTTGATTGTGTAATTTTAAATTCAACTTTAAAGAGTGCTAGTACCTGAAAAAGCTCAAGAATAACAGTTTTTAGTGAGGGTGCCTTTTTGGAAAACTCTATTGTTATTGTCCAGTAGAGACCCTTGAAAATAAAAACAAAGTTAGTACCATAAAAAGACAGCATGGGTTAATGTTACATGTTGTGGGTAGTGGGAAATATTTACCTGTGAAGCCACATATCTACATTTACCAGGCAGGACGTATTTTTTGCCATCAAATGATGTCACAAACTGCCCTTCGATTACACATCTGGTGGGGCAGAGGTTTTCAGAGCATTGCCATTTCCCATCGACACACGTACTGTGGAAAAACACGAGAAAAAAACTCACAGTAAAAACATCAGACCGATGATATCACTACACTACACTATCCAAATAACCTCATTTTGATACTTAATGGATATACATTTATTGATTTAGCTTCATTGCATAAAACACAAACTTGAAAAAATAACTTGCAAGTGGTGCTTTAGTCAAGCTTATGGCACAATGCAGGTCAATTGAAAGAATACAATACACCCGTAAAAACGTAATAGTTCTTTATGACAGAATTATTATCATATTACTTTATGACAGAATGATTTGATGATTTTATTAAAATGTGAGGTAAAGGAAAATTCAGGACAGGATACATACAGAATCACAGTAGTTGTAAAAGGGGGTGTAGGCATATCTAAACATATTTGTCATATTTATTTCTCCATATATTGCATACTAAATACTGCTGATCAATAAAGACTTTGTGAAAAAAAGTAAAACTTTACGACAGATAATGTGCAACTCATGGATCATTTGTATGTTTTAAAACAGTTTTCCACCCACTCACCATGACTGACACTTAGTGCTAAGTATGTCTCCGGGTGAGTAGCTTTTACCAGCAAACACACACAGGCAGCTGGACACACTCACACACTGGTAGCTATCTTCGTGATCATTGAGCACCGTACCTACAACACAAATTAGTTTAACTTTTAGGCTTGTAAAGGCTAATGAGAAGTAAAGAGCTACATTCTAAAGTCAGACAGTGCTCACCCTCAGGGCAGACACAGGAGCTGGTGAGTTCCTGGTTGGAGGAGGTTGGGTTCTGATTGGAGCAGCTGGGAAAAAAGGCTGCACCCAGTTCTACATAAACCAGATTCCCGGGACACCTGGGCTCATCTGCATAAACACACAGAAACAGGCAATATCATCAAGTGTCCAAATTTAAAGAACTTCAAAATCTAGTTTTGAAGAGCACCTACCACAGTGAGTAACCGTTCTCCAAATGTCCCAGGCATGGCTGTTGTCTCCACACTGTTGGACTACTTCTTTGAAGAAAGCACAGCCGATGTATTTGCTCGTTTCGTAGCCGTAAATGTTCTCCTCACAGAGTTGAATATAATGAGGCGTCTGAGCTAGCAGACATTCCAGGGTGTAGGAAAAGAACTCCCTGCATGCCTACAAGTATTATGAGAGAAATCACTTTCAATGTGGAACAATTTTATATTATGGTATTGTCAGACACTGCGGCAGACCTAAATGCAGGGGTGGCCATTTGATTTCAGAGGGCCGGATCAAGGTTAAAAATAATAGGTGGCATGGGCTCAACAGTTATTGCTGAATAATTATTAGCATATAAGTAACATATGTGCTTTTTCAGTGAATTTCACTGATCTTGAAACAACATTATTATTATTTATTTATGGTCGACAATAATAATGCTGACTTCTCCAGGCAGGGCCATAATCCTGTATGGGCGGGCCTCCCCAGGACGGGGTCTGGGTATTATATGATCTTGCAACAGTTCACTTACTTGATTGACAGCGAAGAAAGGATCTCGGGTTTGACACGTGTCATCAGCTCGCTCGCTCTCTGTGATCAACTGCTGCTTGTTGCCTGGTTTCATGAACATTGTAAATTCTTAGAGCGATGCATAAAAACGTCAAAGTTTGGCAATAGCTAAATGTGTGCATTAGTTTAATCAGCTACATTATAATGATTAGAATACTAACATTAACATTTATTTTACACCTGTGGTCTAACTTGTTTTTTTGTCTTTATTTAAAGGTGGGGTAGGTAATTTTGGAGAAACCAGCTCGAGTGCGCAAGAATTTGAAAATACACAGCCGGAAGAAATCTGCTACTTCCTTACAGAGCCCCTCCTCCAACACACGAACGCGCACATGACCAATGAGGGCACGAGATAAATCTGTGCACAGATGGAAGGCTGACAGGCAGGTAGGCCATCCAGTTATTTTAGCCGGGCCGGCTAAAATGATTGGTCGTGCTTTTTACAGTACTACGGCTTCCACAGATGACATTTTGTTATGGATTTGTTGTCAAAGCACTTGAGATATTCATTGCTATCGGGATGTTAAGAGCATTCCATGGAATATAACAAAATGTGTATCTCGAGCCGGTTTCTCAAACTTACCTACCCCACCTTTAAACGTTTGATATACAGCTAAAGGTATGTACTTATTCGATATACAACTAGTTTATAGGACGTTATAAGACTACTTCAGCTCCTACCAACATTATAAATACCGCTACTAATAAAAGCACTGCTGCTAAAAAACGTATATTAATTCTGTCTTTTAACCAACATACCTTGGGTGGTGTGCTTTCCACACAGTCCAGTCATGTCGGTGCTTAGTTCCTGCTCCAACTCCACCTTAACAACACGTTTTTTTATAAAGGTTGAGTGGGTAAGGTTATTGTTCTGCAATCCTTAACTACATGTGAATAATCCACAACAAGGATTATGGGTTCATGCTACGGTTTATTCTGAATGTTATTAACTCACCCACAAAGTGTCTACTCCTCCGGGAACATTGTGCCAGGTGACGGACAGAGGAAGCAGCGAGCTCTTCAGTTTGGTGTAGATGCCGTACTGAAAGATATGCTGGTAGGTGTGGTCGTATGGAAGGGAAACACTGTCAACAAATGAATGTACAGAGATATCAGCACAGATAGAGGAAACAGGTTCCACACAATTAAGACTAGCACCTGACCTTAAACAGCTTCAGTGCCCCTGACTGACGAGAAAAGTTATGTATTCCTATTTCCTCATTGATTTATATATATAAAAGTAGTTAGGTATTACATTTGTTTAATAGACAAACTATTAACAATCGAGAGTCCCAAAGTCAAAGCTAATAATTGACTAACATTAATAACATTAGGAATGCATAAAAGTGTTACCTCACAGTAAAGGTTGATTATGAAAGCCATTTAAGGGAATGATTTCTTCCTTGGCAAAACAGTCTGAAGTTTCTTTACGTAATAAAACAGGATCAGGCTGGGTTTTGGTTTGGCACAAACCTTTTCCCCTCCACCAGGATGCTTCCATTCTGCACAACAGTCCTGACTTTGTTGATGATGATCTCGACTCGGACCAGCAGCCCGTCGTCCTCTCGCCGTGTGGTGATGTCACACTCCACCCGGTGGTGGGTGAAGTGGGTGAGGAGGAACATGCAGTTGGACCGAACGTAGAAACTTGAACCGTTGAAAGGCTGGACGACGCCGCTGCCAAAAGTCCTGCAAGTATCTGTGAACAAGTTACTGATTAACGACGACTTAACGGAGCTCAATAATAAAGCAATAAGTCCATTCAGTTTTTCTTGTATGTTTCTGGAGGGTTTCAAATATCACTGTCCAAATGTATTGTGTTTCTCCTGCTAAAGGTTTTAGTACTTCTAACATGACAGACAATGTGACTGCTCCTTTTCTTGTAATATTGTATAACAAAAGATGATTTTAAGTAACAATTCTAAATAAACAAGCCACCTAATTCACTATCACTATACAAGTCTATAAAAACCAAATCAAATAAGGTTTTATTTTCTACATACACAATCTTACAGAGTAAAACATGCAGTGAAATTGTCCTGTGTCTAGCTCCAGAAAGCAACTGACAAAAAATTGTAAAATAAAGCTAATAAAATTGTTTATTAATTAAGTTTTTTTTATGTATAATTAACTGATTAGGATCCAATAATAATTTATACTCACATTTCTGACTTTCAGTTGTTGTGACCGATTCCCCGGTGCCTAACACTGGGAGAGAAATACGGTGTCAAGGTGGAAGTCAAAATATATATCTTTTTAAATGAAATATTTAATTTCAACACAAATAAATGGATACAGCAGGTTAGTGTTACAATATGCTAATTCAAAATAGAGATGTGGTACGATTAAATACTTTGTACACAAAGGTCCGTTATTGAAAGTACTGTACCAGGTCATTAGAAAGTACTTTAACCTAGCTCTTCTTTAGAGTATCAAGTGTGCCCATTACATTATTTGACCATTGTGTGGTTTAATCTACAATAGTGCATAACATTTTAAAATATTATCATAATCTTTGTGTCTAAATTATTCATTTATAAAGTAACTCGTCACTAAAGCTTACAAAGAATTTAGCTGAGTAAAAGGTAATTGCTTTTTAATTGCATTATAGTAGAAATATAAAGAAGGGGCAAATTAAAATACTATAATAGTAGATTACAAGTACCTCTAATTTGTAATCAAGTACAATAAATATCCTCTTTTAATTCACCACTCAATGTGGCACTGATGACATTTACTTTTCCTACTCCAGTTTGTAAAATGTGACAAAATAAATATTGTTAACCATAAAAAACAACAAATATCTAAAATAATAAAACATCCTTATCATGTAGCTATTTATGCTTTTTCTTTTGAAGAAATGTGGTGATATTGTATATTTTTGATTTAGTAATAGTCTTGTTCCTTGACACTTTTTTTGCTTGGAAAATTTGAAGTATATTCAAATGATTAAATGAGTAATTGGTACCTGAGAATAGAGAAACGCAGACTGCCAGTATCCATCGCGGCGAGGCCATGCTGCCTGTGGCTCTGTGGCTGCAGGATAGCAGGTGAGACCAGGGGCAACTGCAGCCACAGCCCAACACATGGCTTTATATACAGCGTCTAACTCTGAACCACCCATCACACCACACGCAGGCAAACCAGGAAACTAAAAAAAATATATTAGGATTAACGATTAAGAGAAACTTGGAAATGATCACACATATTCACGGATATCCTGCAAATCATAAAGCATTTACAGTTACATGAATCTATTTCATGGTTTCCCAATAATCCCTTTCGAATCACATCATAGTTTATTTATATATAGCCCAATATCACAAAACACGTTTGGGCTTTAAAGATCAAAAAGCATAGATGACATTGTTAAAAGATAAATAAAATGACAAGAAATGTTAAAAAGACAAGATAGAACGTGAAATACAAATACACGAGATAAAACACAACAGAAAGAGAGTAAAAATACATAAAAAACCATAGAAAACAGACAAAAATACCATTAAATGTAGGACAACAGGGTGATCTAAAACCACCTCTAAATATAGGCTTTATTCAAAAGTTTGGTCTTCAAAACTTCCTGTTTTTATCAGGGAGGTCCAACTGTGTCCAAACATTTTTCGACACTGTCTTCCTCCCTAATTAATTGGTTCCAGAGAAAGGGAGCTTGGTAGCTGAACGCTCTGACTCTGGGAACCACCAACATACCTTCAATTTATGACCTAATGGGAAATTATGTGTGAAAAATAAATCTTGACTACAAAAAAGGCCACGATAGATGCACAAACACAGAGGGGAAGACTAAGAGAGTTTGAAACTTGAGACACTTTTCCTTTAAACCCAAATGTTTCCTGATGGAGAGATAGATGCTTGCTTTTGGCAAACACTGTAAAACCAGACAATGCCTTGAACGTTAACAGAGGATCAATGGTGACAATATGACAGATGAGGAAGGGCTAAATGGCCAGGGTGCGTGAACCAGGATGTGGTTGGTTATTTTTCTATTTCAGAGGTGAGGGAAAGCACCAGATTATGTTTAAAATTTGTGTTCTGCAGCTACTCAGATTTCTTTCCATGGTTAAGCTGAACAATTAACGTAGCCTGCTGATGTGTGAAATCTTTTTACCGCCTCACTGATTTAAGTACGGAGGCTTTTAATCACTCTTTACCCACCACCTGTGAATTAAGGTATTATGTTCCAATTGATAATATTAGGGTGTTTAGATATGGCTAATGTGTCAGCAACTTGCTTACTTAACATATCTTACAAAAGCATATTATATTAAGGCCTGGACCTTCGTGCACATTTCCCATATTACTTTCCTTATTGAATTCTAGAGCTTTTTCTATTTTAAATAAATATTTTAAATGAAAATTCAGTTTTTTGTTATTGAAAGTCATGATTATTTCAATAGCTTTCCTATTATGGGACTCAGTTACCAATAATCGATCCTATTTTGCATTTTGTACTACATTGGATAAGTAGGATTGACAGTACATGCATATGTTGACTACATTTCATAGGAATCTGATTATACATTTTCTATATTCCCTGTTCATGAGTATTAGGAAATGTTATAGCTAGTGGACAGATCAGGGCTAAATCCCTTACCTAATTTCAGATCATCTGGATTGAAGGTTTAAAACGGATCTTAAAAATGATTGACACACATCACTGTCTTTAGACCTTTACTCAGCAGACATCACAAGGTTAATTTCCTTCAAAGAGCCATTATAGGTTTCCCTCATGAAACCATGTACACCATAATGCGTACAGGAAGCTCGTTCCATTATTACCCTCCTTCTCTAATTGGCTCAATCATCCGTTATCAGGACGTACTCAATCTCCTTTTTGTGGGACACCACTGTCCACATATTGATCCTCTCCACATGAAAGCATTTGCAGCCATGTCATCTCTCCAGGCTGCAGCCATGCAGCATGTTCCCCCAGATTACTGTTCTGTGTTTCAAGCCTGATCAATAATGGAGAAGGAAGGTAATGACAATGATTGAGTGTTCATAAGAGGGAGTCCACAACATGAGAGACGGGAGTTGTCATGGCCTCGAGTTAGGCATTATTTTGGCATACATCTTTTAAGACATTTCTCAAGTGAAAATGCCAAACATAGGGTTGATATAGACCAGGGATGGGCAACTTTGATGGTGGTGGGGGCCACATAATTGATGTACTGCAGGCAAGTCACTTTTAATGAATGATTGTATTAACAATTATAGCCTTAACTTCATGTTTTTCACAGAAAGCTGGCTAGACGAGAACAACAGTGGAGCTGTTCTCATTGAAACAGCCCCGCCAAATTTTAATTTTTTGGGTGAAAACAGAGCACACAGAAAAGGAGGAGGTGTTGCTACTATATTTAATAATGCTTTTCAATGCAAGAAAATAACAATACAATAATTTCCCTCTTTTGAATACCTAGCCGTTCAATGTAATTCCTTCTGTCGAGCACTGTTTATAACTATCTACAGACCACCAAAATATTCTGTACAATTTTGTGATGATTTGTCTGAACTATTGTCGATTTTTTGCATAGATTTTGACTGTATACTCATGGTTGGTGACTTCAACATTCATGTTGACAACCCCAAGGACAGTAGAGCTATCGAATTTAATAATATTCTGGACAGCTATGGACTAACCCAGCATGTGACAGGGCCCACTCACAAATTGGGCCACACTCTTGACCTAGTTATAACCAAAGGTCTCAATATTTCTAACCTCATGGTCACTGATGTTGGCCTCTCGGATCACTCCTGCATCTTTTTCAAAATGAATATCAGCATTTCTAATAAAGGGACAACACAGATTCTCACAAAACGACACATAACTGAAGACACAAACAAGTTGTTTATTGAGGCTTTCTCCTCCACTATCAGACTTCCATCCAACAGTGTTGATGATATGGTGGATCATTTCAGGTCAAAAACGACATGTCTGATTGATGCTCTTGCCCCTGCTAAAGGAAACCCAACCTCTGGTAATAAAGCACCATGGAGAAATGCCACGCTAGTGAGGCTGCGCAAACAACATTGTAGAAAAGCGGAACGCAGGTGGCGCAAGTCACATCTTCTCATTCATTTTGAGATATTTAAGGACAGTCTTCATAGTTATAATCACGAACTACGGAACGCAAGACGCTCCTTTTTCTCTGATATAATCAGCAAAAACAGCAATAACACCCGTGCGTTATTTTCAACTGTTGACCGGCGGCTATCAAACCCCCGCATACCAATTGCCCCTGAACTCCTCTCTACTAGGGATGTTAAGATTCACCGATTCGCATCGGTGCACTGGCATAAACGTTCAAGATGCGAGTGCACCGGTTGAAAGAGTGCACATCGGCTACAGTTTGGGTTGAACTCGCGATGCATCGATTGTAGCGTCTTTGCATCGGTAAAAAAACGATTCATTCATATAATATCCCCTCATCTTGTCAGCACTCAGCAGAGACGATCTTTGATCTTTGCTTCGCCACTACGGAGGCCGAGAGTCTCAGTTATCAACACACATGGAAGTCGAGGAGAAAGAGAAACACAGCGCACCGAAAAATACCTACAAATCAAATGTTTGGCAACACTTCAAATTTTTCAAGAAAGACGGACAACTTGAAAAATCGCTCGCAAATTGTAAACGATGCCGTGCGGCTTTAAAGTACACAAGTAGTACGAGGAACTTAGCGACGCACATAGAGGCAACATGGGGTCTGCGGCTGAAAAGAGAAACCTGAAAGTAAGACATATGAGTTCAATCACTCAGTGAGGTGTTCTGTCAGTGAGAGTGGTGTTTAGTTTACAACAGCCTGTGACTGCCAATAATAGTTTAAATGTCTTCCTTACAATTGTAAGCAGTTATGAAATACCTGTTTGTGAAAGGTTATTTTCTTTATTGTTCCTATAGAAACCACTGCTTTCTGCTCACTGGTGAGTTAGCCTATGAAAGAGTGTTAAGCACATCAGGCTGGCAGTTGTATGTGCATTGCACTATGGTAGTTGTTATTTGCACATTGTTAATCCTGGGCATCCTTAAATTGTTTAACTGTGAGGTGTTATAACATTGTACTGTACTCTGGAGACAGAGAACACTACTACACTTGTGAAAAGGCCAGTTTGTGAAAGGTCCAAGTGTTTGTTTTTTTTAAGGTAAAAAAGAAACAGCATGATGGGATGTGCAGTACTAGTAGAGAGAAGCAAATATGTGAAGCACTTTTTTGTTAATGTATGATTTGCTGCATATAAGGAATAAAACAAAATCCTCTGTCGTACCATATTGAATTGTATCATTATTTTGCATCGTGTTGAATCACATCGTATCGCCCCGTATCGCATAATGTTGAATCAAATCGTATCGAACTGTATCGCAACAGGGGTGAATCGTATCGTATCGCATCGCCTGGTGTTTCAAAGGTATCGTTAATGTATCGTATCGTTGGTAGCGTATCGAGATGCGCATCGTATCGGCCTCAGTGATGGAGATGCACATCCCTACTCTCTACTGAGTCATGCAACAAATTTGCATCATTTTTTACAACCAAAATTGAAAATATAAGATTAACGGTGAGTGCCTCTATTTCGGGAAAGGGGTCTATGGCAACCATTCATCCTCTTAAAATTCATGTAATCCCCAAGACACAATTTGATCGCATCAGCCATAATGCCCTTGAAGACATAGTGTTGCATTTAAGTTCTTCCTCCTGCTGCTTAGATAGTATTCCCACAAGCTTCCTGAAAAATGTTTTTAACTGCATGGCATCAGAGCTACTAGAGATAGTCAACACCTCCCTCAGCTCGGGACAGTTCCCAAAAGCACTAAAAACAGCAGTAATTAAGCCTCTTTAAAAAAAAAAAAAACCTAGACAACTCAATCATGCAGAATTATAGGCCAATTTCAAACCTACCCTTCTTGGGTAAAATTATAGAAAAAGCTGTTTTCCATCAACTCAACTTTTTTTTGGCACAAAATAACTGCTTTGATGCTCTCCAGTCTGGATTCAGAGCCCATCACAGAACTGAGACCGCACTTATGAGGGTCTTAAACGATATATATTTAAACACAGACAAGGGACAAATAACTATTTTGGTACTGCTGGACCTCAGTGCCGCCTTTGATACAGTGGACCACAACATATTACAGGACAGACTAGAAAACTGTGTTGGTTTATCTGGCAAAGCACTTAATTGGTTCAAATCGTATCTGCAGGACAGGGACTTCTTTGTGTCTGTTGGTTCTTTTAAATCGTAACAAACTGCAATGACTTGTGGAGTTCCCCAAGGGTTGATTCTTAACAAAATGTCGTACCACAACTATGCAGATGACACTCAGTTATACATTACAATAAAGCCTGGCGACTACTACGGACCATTACAATCCCTCACCAACTGCATGGAACAAATCAGTAGCTGGATGAGCAACAATTTCCTACAATTAAACAAAAACAAAACAGAGACAATTATCTTTGGTGCCAAAAGGGAGGAACGGGCTGAAGTAAGCGCTAAACTAGAAGCCCTACTGCTAAATACATCGGAAAAGGTGAGAAATCTAGGCGTAGTTCTGGACCCCGACCTCAATTTCAAATCCCATATCAACACAATGTCACGATCTGTCTGTGTTGTGTTTTGTCTGGTCTTATTCTGTCTCTGGTTTCCTGTTTTATTTTGAAAGGTGTTCACCCCCTGTCTTGTCTGTTGATTCCTGTCTCTGTGTTTGCCCTCCTGTGTCTGATTTCCTGATTGTGTTCACCTGGTGCCCCTGGGTGTTTCTCAATCGCGAGTACGCTTGCTTGGTAGCACATGTCTGCCGAGCATCTTGCTTCAGAAGCGAGCCAAGAATACTTCCTGACATTTGGAAAACAAAGAGTGGAACAGGCTAGCAAGTGTGCAGGTGTGCGTCATATGATAGGCTCCGCCTTACATTTTCCGCCACAGATTTTGGAAATTGGTCCGTGCGCAAAGCATTGTGGGGATTTTAAGACCGCGGAGTCTACTCATGTGCAGCCTCGAAATTTCTCCAAACGGAGTACGCCGGGCTCGGTAGATTTCCAAGTATGCTGGAGATTGGAACAGTACTTCGGCGGCACTCTATGACGTAGTATGCTTGAAATAGTGGCTCTGCAGCAGCTTTACTCGCGATTCTCCTCCCTCCTCACCTGTGTTGTGTAATTAGTCTTGTGTGTATTTAAGTTCTGGTTTTTCTGTCTGTCTTTGTTAGATCCTTGTTTGTCTGTGACTGTGTTCACGGGGTAGTGTTCTGTTTGTCACCGTGTAAACCTTGAAATAAAGGTATTTTCTTTGTTATCTGCATTTGGGTCCTGCCTGCTTCAATCAACCTTGACACACAATTACTAAATCAGCATACTATCACCTAAAAAACATAGCCAGACTTAGAACATTCATGTCTCAACAAGACCTTGAAAAACTAGTTCACGCCTTTGTTTTTAGCAGGCTTGATTACTGTAATAGTGTATTTACAGGTCTCTGTAAAAAATCGGTTAGAAAACTACAACTAATCCAGAACGCCGCTGCCAGAGTCCTGACCAAAACAAAAAGAGTAGCTTACAGAATCGATTTTAAAATGATATTGTTAACTTATAAAGCATTAAATGGTTTGGGACCCCAATATATGTCTGACATGTTGCCCTGTTACGAGCCCCCCAGAGCTCTGAGATCATCGGGGGCGGGCTTACTCATTGTTCCCCGGCTCAGAACCAAACACGCCGAAGCTGCTTTTAGTTTTTATGCTCCCCACAAATGGAACAAACTTCCAGAAAACCTGAGGTCTTCACCCACGCTGAGTTCTTTTAAGTCGAGGCTAAAAACACTACTTCTTACAGCTGCTTACCCGGAAGCCTTTTAACTTGTTTTAGTACTTACCGTATTTACAATGTCGTTTTTAAACTATTTTATATCTCATTAATTAGGGATGCTCCGATCGCCAATTTTGGGGCCGATCGCCGGAATCAGTATCGGCCGATACCGATCGCCGATACCGATCGCCGATCCGATCGAGTGGGCGGGGCCTAAATGGAAGATTTAAACATCACTTTAAATCTTCCACTTTAAATCTTCCATTTAAAGTGATGTTTAAAACTCAGTTAATGGGGCTCATTCACTGGCGCTTCCACAAACAACAATCAACTTAATTATTACATTCAAATGATGTACATTATTCAAGTTTACATTCACTTTGGATAATAACACGGGAGAAATGAGCGGAAGCACTCTCCTTTCCTCTCTCCCCCCCTCTCTCTCTCTCCTGACAGCCTGTCAGTATCGTCTCATGCAGCTCACTGATCCAGTAATGAGTGACCCGACAGTGAAGAATAAATATATATAACTAGTTTAGCTTGTTCCAGAGGTAGATAAAATAGCTAAGTGTGTTAGGTCTAACTCTTGTGTGTTTTGCTCCGCTCACCGGTCCGTCACAGCGGGTGGAGCTGCAGGATTTCTGCTTCACACACGTTGCAGATAATAATGCCAGACCGCCGGTGAAGCCCTTTTGGCGAGCTTGTTTTGCTGCGCACAGAGAAAAGTGTCATGTATTTTACGTCATGCGATCGGCTCTCGCGATCGGCATGTTTAGAGAGCACCGATCGATCGGTAGAGAGTGAGTATCGGCAGATCTCGATCGGTGACCGATCGATCGGAGCATCCCTATCATTAATGCATTGTTTTTATGAAACTGTTATTCCATTATGTTTATTTATTGTGTTCCTCTCTGTTCTACTATC